ATAACTCCAAGTTCTTAGAATTATGTTTCATAAAATCGTTAATAAATGTCTTAGGTTCCTCGATTATATAAAAGCTTATATCTATTCACCAATCAAATCACATTTGAATGCAATTATTATTTAATATTTTAATATATTAGTTATTATCTATCAAAAAAGTTGATTTATTCCTATTCAAATTTTTCATTCAATGTATCTAAATGTTCATAAATTGATATACACAAAATCCAAAAATCAACAACACCTATATTTATTACATTTTAAATTAATGAAGTACACAAAATTTTGTATCTGTGTATTTCACTGTCATATATTTTGCATATTATTAATAGATGATCGGTTAAAATTACCTAATAATTATCATACGATTATACAATTAAAACAAAATTTGTAAACTTATGTTATTTCTATGGAGATTAGATATTTAGATCGTCTTTATAAAAAAACCTTGAATATAATTGTTAACCTTAATAATTCTAGTTCAAATATTGGTATTATTTAATAATTGTACTTATTTTATGTAATTGTATTTATCAAAATTAATTAGTACTCATTTTTAGCGTAGAAGGCCTATGAAAAGTTCTACGTAACACATAATAACAAAGTTATTTAAATTACATAGCATATTTAATGAGGCACAGTACGGCATGTTTTACAAATATCTGTACAATGACTTTAAATTTTCCAAGTATGAAACTCGTTTAGATTACAAATTAGTTTCTAAAAATTTTAAAGTACTGTTGATTTGAAAAATAGAATATAAAACATAAGTAATCTTTATCTTATTAAAGCCTTAAAAGAAGTTTTAAACTTTTAGAACGAAAGTTATTTTAAATTGGATATAAACAACACTATGGAAATGTCTGCTGGTTGAATTGTATTTTGTAAAACTTCGATCATTTTTTTTTATAAAATTAAATTAATACAAACTCTTTTATAAATAATAGCTATAAAATGTTTTATAATATATATATATATGTCATAAATTACAAATATAAGTAATAGAAGTATATATTTAGTATAAAGAAGTTCTCCAAAGTATTTATTCTTAAAAAAGTACTCTGCGCAAAAATATTATTTTTGTACATGAAAACATGTTTGGGAGAGTACTGAATTATCTGCACAACGACGATTGGTCGTAAGAAGATGATCAACACATTAAATAAAACTAATAAAATTATTTATATTTTGTCACTGACGATTTTTTGAAAAAAAAAAAACAAATAATAATGAAAAAGTTATAGGCTTTTTAAAAAGTGTAAAATATTTGTTCTTTCAAATACTTACCTTTTTAAAATAGACTTTTCAATAATCGACCATGTTGGAATGTAAATAATGTTATCACTTTAATTTAACATTTTGATAATCTCTCTATAATCAACCATTTCTGTGTTAGTCTGGAACATGGTTTCTAATATTATTTTAATTACTTATGTGTTATTCTAATGCAACCTATCGGAGACTTTTAAAAGTCGATTTTCAAGTTACATACTGTAAAATAGTTTATAACATATCTGAAAATCCAATATTTTTGATTACTGGCCATTATAAAATTCGGATAGTTTTAATTTAACGACTTCTTAAATAAATATCACATGTAAATAATGTTAATAGTATATTTTAATTACACAATTTCTTGATTTGATTTTTATTGTGTTTTTTTCAATGGTATTCATGAAAAATTCATCATTTAATATTAATTTAACAATTTACTATTTTATTAGTTTTCATAACTGATACTTATAGAATTTTTATGAAATAAAGCTTTATACTGCCAAATTTGCAAGTGTTAAATATTAATATTTTTAAGTAAATTAAACTTCATTATTTCATTATTACTTAAATAAACTTATTCCAGAGATTAAATTTATTTTTAAGTATTTAAATATATTAAATACTATAAATATACATGTATCCATACAGGTGATTATTATAATGCTAGATATTATTAAAATAATATTTTTTTTGGCTTTTGTTAGCTACATATGTATCCATATTTGTTACAAAATATTTATTATATTCATCCTTTTTGTCTTATAGGGGTGTGAAATATACTTGTTTAAATGTCAACATGTATATTTAACAGCTTATAAAATAGAAAATGATCATTTAAAAATTAAAAATAATTTAATTTAATTTTTTTTTTTATAATGATAAATAATAAGAAATATGCTTCAAACGTATTTTAAGAAATTATTAACTATTAAAAGAAATATTCAACAAAATGATTATTATTCTATTAAAAGTTATAAGCGTTGTCAGTTAGGTCCGAAACACTATAATGCAACAAGCTCAAGGCACAATGATTATTCTGCCTAATAATTTATTGTTAAAAGTCTCAATGAAAATGTGAATCTATTAGATTACAAACATTTGGATTCTAGGTTAAACTATTTAGGTGGCTCAATTCTATCATTGTATTTGGTTCGTTACACATACAAATAAGCGAATAAAATAATAGTAACTGTACTTGGTGATTAATATAATTTTATTAAAACTGAATCCAGCTCAGTTGGCTAATTATGACGAATCGATTTGATCTAGCCAACTTAATATTACAATTTCACAATAATGCGAACTAGTAACTATTGCAATATGTATTTATGTGTTTTTCCTTTGCATTATCGCTACGTGCAATATCTTGCTGTTATAAACCTAACGATTTTCCTCTTAGTTTTTAGACTTTTACTTAGGTTATAAACTCCAAGGTTGGCTTGTTTAACAAATCAATTAACGTGCTAGCCAAATAAAAAAAAAAAAAATTTTTATTAATTTATTTTTTAACTTTATATCCAAATGCCTATTGTTTTTTAGAGCTTCTTATAAAAAAATAATTAATGGGATTAGTAACAATTTTTGAACAAATTTTTATTGTTATAAGCAGGGACTAGAACCATATTTTTTTATAGGTTCCGGTTAGTTTCGGGTTCTTGAAAATAAAAGTTCCGGTTCCCAAAAAATAAAGGTTCCATGCGAATTTGTTAAAATTTAATTGAAATCATTAAAATTAAAGTTAAGTTAAAGAAAGTCTCAGAAAATAACAGATGTGGGATTTTAATATCTCTCCAGTACATTTTATAATATTGATTACTGTAAGGCGTTTATAAAAGGGGGTTGATAGGCGATAGATGGTCACCTTTTGCTTTGATAAAAAATTTTTTTACAACATCATAGTTAAAGAGTCATAATATTGTATAATATATTTTAGTTTAACTTAATTTGATACATAACGACTTTTTATATTATGAATAAAAAGTATTTATTCTATTTTTTACATTTATATACCAACATACATATTATATCTATTAACTTTTTATAGTCATCTCCCTCCCTTATACCACCACTTTATGGTTAAGGAGACATCCATTTTTAACTCATGTGTAAATTTAAAGTTATAATGTTTAAAATTGTGAAGCACAAAGTCTCGGATACATCCAATCAAAATATTTAGAAGTAAAATTGTAAAACATGTAAAATATAATAATGATCAAAATTTAATTTGATTAACCATGATAAAAAATAATCAGGTATAAACATAAATTTCAGAATTAATTTTGAATAAATTATCCATAAAATTTATTTTATAGAATAATAATAATAAATTTTATACATATTTATTTTTATTTTACTTCAAAAAAATCTTTTATTATATTATTATTTACTTTCATACTCATATTATGAAATACATCTACGAAAATATTTACTTGATATATTTAAGAGCAGTCATTACACGTTGATGTCTTATTTTTGTCACAGTAGATAAAATAATTATTAATACACATTTACTTCTAACCATGATATCTCAGGTAGATATTATTATTATACATATATTATTAATTTTAATCAAAATAGGTATTGTTTGAAATTGAATCCAACAGCGCTCGAAGACGATAAATAATAACAAAATTATCGTAATCACCAAATCTTAAAGAAGTTTAATTTATTTTTAAAGTCGTAAAGCTGGTCAGACTGTTCAACGTTTTATCAGTTGTCGCACTAGAGGAAGACGCAGGCTAAAGTCTGTAGAAAAAATCACAAGAAATAGAAGCATAAAACCTTATTATAACTTCTATTTATGACTATCGTAGTCATAAATAATAATTTAGAGATTAATTTATAAAAAAATCTACGGAAATATTTGTTTTTGGTTAATCATTTTGAGCAACTACATAGTAGTATCACATTTCTATTAAAATTTTTGGATTTATTCTTGTATTATTTTGACCCAAGCGACCATTCATGTATCTTCAAAATAGTCAAGTAAAGAAGTTAAAATTGTTTAATTCTGTAAATTAAAGTCAATATTTAAAAGTTTATTAGCTCCTTAATTTTATTTTTATTTATTGATACTGAACAATTTTTAAGAGTAAAGAAGTAACGAAACTTCTATGAATTCGAACTATAAAAAGAATTTTATTTATAGAAATAATCTATAATACTATGTCATTTTATTTTGACGCGTATTATATTTTACACCATTAGTCTAAACAGATGTCTAAACCTTTTAGAATGTAGTATTACCGATAAGAAATCTTTGATGCATACTCGTCATCGTCTCTCTTAGGTATTTACTTTTATCATTTTTCTCCTCAAATCAACTGTACCTTATACATAAGTTTCATTTTCAAAGTTAAGTCACGTTTGAAATATAAGGTGTTATATTAAAACAAAATCATATCAGTTTTCATCTAAATATGAGAGAGAGAGAGACACCACGAGACATTTAATTTTCAAAGTACTCTATTTCAAACATTTTTCAATATATCTAAGTGATTTTTTATGGATAAGATAATATTAAACTTGTTATGCATTATTCTCCTCTAATTAACCATCGAAAACCCCTCTGATTTTATTATAGTCAATAATTATGACAATTATAACATTTCTAAACAATTAAATGTTTTTGAATATTTGTTTTATTTCATTTTAAATAAAAAAAATTATGAAGAAAAAAATTAATTATTATTTTATTTTTATATGATTTTTAAATTTTTTGACAGAAAATAACTCCAGAGCTTCGAAACTAATAGGACAATATGATTATTAACGTGCACATTTGTTCAGTCGTTTTCATTATAATTAGCATTGTTCACAATGGTAAGTATTTAACATTTATATTTCATCTTATACACGTAATACAATAATTGGTATAATGTATAAAATCGTAAATATGTATACTTCTAGAAGTTAACTTTATTCAACCAACACATTATATCAAAATGAATGTATTATGTTTCTTAATTAAATAAAAAATAAAAAAAATTCTTGGTTATGATAAATATAAAGAAATAATTTTTCAATTGTAGAAAAACTTTGATAGTTGAAATCTGGGAGGGAATAATATGCTATGTAAAAAATGATATATATCATTATAATGATATTACAAATTACAGGATGATTGGTTTATCATAAACTGCTCAATTAATCTCAAAATAAGTATAATATGAAAAAAAATTGTTTTCTATGATAGTAATTTTAATCACCGTCAGATATCATTTACAGAGTGTTCAGTAAGTTAGGAAATAGGTAAAATGTTACAAACAATGAGAACAATAGACACTCGTTTCCTTACTTACTGAAAACTCTATTTACTTGTTCACACTGAGTCGAGATTTTTATTTTATGTTAGATAAATTTTTTATATGTAACATAATTATTGTGAAAATATACTTCTTCAGACTAGACATAAGCGCGTTAAAAATTTAAAATATAGTTAAGATGTTTAATCATATTAATAAGATAGGTAACCTGTTACTTTTTAGAAGAACTATTAAAGTCGTTAGTTATTAAAAAATATTTATCGTTTTACTACTTTTAACAACATAATATCACATGGTGTATTTTTTTGTTAACGAGTAATCATTTCTGAGCACATGATAAATCGGCTTTTGTAAAACTCCATTATTTATTATAGTAGATTATCTGATATAAATTTATTCAAGTTTAACAATAAAAGTTTTTTCACAATAATTATAATTTTCATAATCAACATATTCTATTAAATTTATTGACTGATTATATTAAAAAAAAAATAAATAAAAAATTACTATGACTTTAAATAAAGTTCATGCTGTTTGTTGTACAATTAGTGAAGCCATACATGTTTAATTAGATTTGGAAACTTTTTTTGACACTGAAGTAAATGACGATAAAAATTAAAGCTTATAAAACACATTGAAGCTAAAACAAAACTATTACATATTTTAACAATAATAATAATAACAAAATATCATTAATAATATAAATACCGAAAAACTAACATAAAATGATATTCAGTTAAATTAATTCATAAATAACTTCAATATTTGTTATCATATACATATAGCATCTCTTACTTCAGTGTAAAAAAAAAGTTTCCAAAAGTATATAAAGTTGTCATTGACCATATTCTTAGATCATTTTTTATTATGAGCTGGTAAAATATGTATATCACAATTAAAAAAATAATGACACACTTTTGTAATATCATAAAATGTATGGAATACAAAAACACCAAAAATGATTTTCTTAACAAAATCATTATTCTAAGAAAAATTTGGTGGATAATATTATAAGAATTATTCTGTATACTTTATAACTTTTTATAATTTCTCCATAAAATTAATAATATTAAATTATTTTAAATTTTATACTAAATTTGATCGCTATAATAAATATTTATTCATGTATAATACTTATAAATCATTAAATGTAAATTTTATTCAAATAAAAATTATGAAAATTGGTGACTACATCACTCTAACCTCCCCTTATTTATAAAACCTTCTTGTTTAAAGAAGAAAAGTATGGTAGATAAAATGAATAAGTATATACATATATATTATTTACAAAAAAAAAAAAAAAAATGGAATAATGTATACATTTTTCAAAAGTAATTGCGATTTAAAGTTGAAAATATATAATTGGAAATCGAATATTTTAACACAAAAATAGCATGTTTCTTATTTACGACAGACATTTACATATAGAAGATAAATTGATGGTACAATTTTTATTTTTATATAATAGTACGTAACATAACTTTTAATTTAACATATGTTTGAACCTTAGAGTATTTCTGAAACATTTACTAAAGTAAATTTTTTTTGAAAAATTTGATATTTTGAATTCTCCCCTGTGGATAGATCAAAGGTCAGATTTAAATTATACATATATATATATCAAGAGAAAATGAAATACATAAGGAATTTATAAAAAAAAATCGTCTTGATGTGTTCTTTTTTCAAAAAGTTACGACAGTTTAAAGAAAAAAGTTTTTAAATATCCAAATATATAGATTTTAAAAATTAGTATTTTTTTAGGGGGGATTTTCACCACTTACAGTGAACAAAGGCAATTTTTTCAATTTTTGAAAAATGTCTTGAACTAGACACGATTTGTGATACTTCGACATATCGTTAAAAGACATTTGTCTGGTGAGAGTTGAGAAAAAGTATTGCCAGACGCAAAAAAATAAATAATTGAACACTTCAATTATTTATTATAAGCTTTTCATCGAAACGAAAAATTGAAAACGCTGGTTTAAGATATACAGATACGTTCTTTATTTTTAAAAATTGATTTGTGTCACATGATTTTATTGAGTATAAAATGCTTTATGCATAGATGCAAAAAGTAGACATGTTTGATTTTATACCAAAAAGTTATAATAAAAATAAACTCATCTTTTTGCTGCATTTTAATATAAAACAAATTTGTTCTTATTTCTCTTCAAAATTTTTTTTAGTTTATATATATAGTTATTACATCAGCATATTCAATCTACAAAACTACAGTTATATCTTCGTTGTACTGTCATAATTTTATGATAGAGTTTTACAACTGTTATCATTCTTCTAATATCAGAGAAGGAATTCGAGATTCAATAATGGATGAACAAACCGGAAATTCTGTTTCAGTACATAGAGCAGTCAAAAATATTTTGTGCAGTGAATACTAAATATGGAATAGTGAGAAAAATATTATAATTTTAAATTTTCACGTTCAATAGCTATTAAAGAGCAAGATAAATTAAAGATTTTATAGAATTTTATCACGATTAAATGAAAATGTTCTTATGTGTTCCACTAACAAAAATGAGCTTCCTCTAAAATACATTCACAACTTTTAAATCAATGAACTTTTTTAAAAATACAATGCACTTGGAATAAATACTAATGTTTGTACTTAAAGACCCCTGGGTGATATTTATGTTGGAGCCTAAAGATTAATGTGAACTTAATGTTTTATATAGTAATTAGATAAAACATATATCCATTAATGGCAAATCAAATGTGTTACTTTGAGTGTAAGTACACTAAAGGGTAAAATATATTTATGTATTAATTTCAGTGCGATTATGGGTTGTAATTATATTATAGGTCTAATATTATGTTGAGTGTAAATACATGGTAAGATAGGATTTTATTCAATGACACGTCTCATTAATTTTACTTCATGTGCCGTATTCTGTAAATTATTCACGGATGTATTTTGTTTTATATTTATAACTATCTTTTTTTATATTACACGATAGCAGTTTATTTATTTAATAAAACTGATTGATCATAAGGACAGTATAATATATCTAGACACATTTTATCAAATAAAGATGCTACAGAAGAAGAAAATAAACAAAGTGTGGTTATGGCTAAAATTGTGTTTAATATACTTTATAAAATATAAAAGGATTATGAAATAAAAAAAAAAAAACTAAGTTATCCTAAGTAAGGACACTGATATTCTCTATACATGCAAATAACTCCGAATTATAGACTATATTCATCGTGTCAACGAAGAAAAGAAAAATTTGAAATAACTGTTGAGAACTCCATGGACCGATCATAAAACAAATTTATCTATAACAAAGGAGCTTAAAATCAAAGTTTAAGACCGCCTCTTGATCATAATCAAGAGCTAAATACTCAAATTCGTTGAATACCTCTTTGTAGAATCCTCAGATTTTTGTAATTATATTTTGAACAATTCATACATAAAAATTACTTTTAATTTTAATTGTGTATTCAAAAATGCTGACATAAGACATTGAAAAAGGCACTATAAAATAAAATTTACAAAACTGTACATTTCATTGCACACTAATGAATTGGTTGCCCTCTAACAAAAATGACTTCGCTATTTGTCAGTATATAGTGTTAACTATAATACACACAATTCTACTATTTTTGATAAATTTTAAACACTTGTATATTTGTTTTTATTTAAGAATAACATAATGATATTTTAAATCAATAATTTATTTGAAATTTAAAATAATTTTTCATTAGACTTTCAGAGAGAAAAATGTGTTTATTAACTTTTTCGTGTTTCATTTATAATTATACATAAAAACTAAGCCAATTTTTTATTTTAAAAATAATGTTCTTTAATCGTTAGTTATATATAAATAAAGATATTTTATGATTTGTAGAAGAAGTTTGTGCATGATCATTACTTTTAGTAATAACTATTGTTCTACAGCATGAGATTGGACTAGACTACAGTAAAAGTTGCTGATAGGTTAGTTATCATAACGTCAGTCAATTTTTGTACTTCAGGAATTCTTTTTTTTTGCATTTATTATTTTATTTGGAAGTGAAGTATGCTAGTCTGATAAGTTTTCCCGAGGCAATATTTTCGTCTCCTGTTTTTTTGAAATACAAATCTTTTTATTGAAATTTTATTTTTTTTAATGTTAATTATTAGTAATAATAGAATTTTAAATAATTTATTTAACTTTGAAGATTTTAGAAATATCGCATCGTTACAGATTTTTGAAACCACATAGTAAAGTTAGTCAATAACTGATAATAAGTGGACTAATATACGTTGTTCGTTTAATGGTTAACACAGTAACTAAGAAATATAACAGACCTTGGTATAAACCATTTTTGTATTTTTAAAATTTATTTATGCCGTTATCTTAGTACAATTTTAGTGTAAAAATCGATTCGATAGTCATCTGCTGATTTATTTGTAAAAACAATTATATTATATAATTGATAATAACAATTTTTATTTTTTTATAATGATGTTCAGCGATAAAATGAAAAATACCGACAAGTTTTATGTGGTATGACGGATAGATATTTGTATAGTGCTTATAGCAGAAAAATCTTAATTAAAAATTAAAAAAACATATTTATTTTTAATTTTTTCTAAATTAGATATTTTGTTGGAAATTAAATATTTTACATCAATACCAACCAAATAATTTTAACTTCAATGCGAAACTAGAAAGTATTGGTTTTATGATGAAGTGCTTTTAGCTGGACCAAATTTAATGATCATAAAATTTAATGAACTTTTCCAAGTTATGATACATCCCCAATATGTCGCAATTTCACTGTGTTGGTTTTTTTTTAATTCGATATCTTAGTTTTTTTAGTTTTAGTTATTATCGAGGTGGACATAATGCTCATGCACTCAGACCTGTAGGTCTATTGTGCGCACTTCATACCGAATTGTCTTGATTCGGTTTACCCACCTAAGTGTTATCACCAAAGTGTTAATACATTACCAACCATAAAGTCACCTCTAAAGATGACCAGAGAGTCCTGTCTTTCTGGCGAAATTAAGTATCTCTCTGGGTTTTAGGTTTTTAATATCCTCTTTTTCAGGAAATGGTTTATTCAAGTAGTTTGATCTTAGTGTGGACAAGGCTTCACATTCGCACATGATGTGAAATGAGTCTTCCTCTTCTACTCCACACTTCCTGCACAATGGTGATTCCGATACCCCCATTGCGTTAAGATGCTTAAGCAGGTGACCATGTCCTGTCAGTAGACCAGTCAGGGTGCTTATTTGATGTCTAGTCATGCTATTAAGATCACCCAGCAATAAACCAGGGGTCTTGATAAACATTTTAGATTGTCTAGGTACTACCAAGTACTTCCAGATTTTCCTGTGTTGTTCTCTGCACCAATTCTTGGGTAACGCTTTGAGCGATTGCTCAGTGAGCCCTACCACTGGTTCTGGTCCAACATAGGTGTTCTCTGCTCCTTTCCTGGCTAGAAAGTCAGCATTCTCATTTCCAGTGACACCGTAGTGTACCGGGAACCCACGCTAGTGTAACTTTGTTGAACCTCGATAGTGATTCTAAAGTTTCCCTGCATTCGAGGACCAGCTTTGAATTCACCTGATCGTTACAGAGTGCTTTCAAAGCCGCTTGACTATCACTTAAGATAGTTATCTTCCTANAATTCGATATCTTAAAAACAATAAATTACAAATAATTGTTAGGTTATATTTGATTTTTCTGCGTTTATTGGCATCTGCAAATGACATTGAATATATCAAAATCATCTTTCGCTAGTTATTATTCTCAGCTGTATACATGTTATTTATTAGTATAAAAGATAAACTAGACTGAAGTTGAAATGTGGAGATTTACGAGTAGGTGTGACCCAGGTGCATTTCGGACGATACTATTTTCAGCTCCTGCCAGTAACATTTTGTAAAATAAACATTTATGTTTACTGTATTTCTATGTTTGTTTAGTTTGATAGGTTAAAACAAATACAAAAAGAAGTTGATACTATAAAGTAAATCAATGAATATAGTTTTTAAAACAACTATTCTTAGTTTTTTAGAATTTTTTTCTTTAATTTATGATTGACATAATGTTTTTTTTAATATATTAGTTACTAATGTTTCGTCATCATAAAATAAAAAAGACCTATTTTGTTGAAAAATTTTTTTTCGATAAATATATAAAAAAAATAATTACCAACCAAATTAAATAGCGAAATAAATTAAAAATTATAAAACTTAATGAAAATTATGTTTTTAAAAACGGTATACTGAAAAAATCATCGATTTTGCATTAGAACTTTTTCATTTTCACGCGACGGATTATTAATTTAGTCATGACTTTATATTTAGTCTGATTGATGTTTTAGAGAAAACGAAAAACTTTTTATAAAAACAATCCTTATCAATACCATTAAATATAAAAAAATAACTGTTTTTAAATAGTAAAATTAATTAATATCCACTAGAAAAAGAATATATATCAATCTTGTTAGTTTTAGTGTTAGTTATTAGAGAGGTAGCCAAAAATTGCTCATGTACTCAGAACTGTATGCCTTTGTACTCACATCCTACTGAATTATATTAATTCAGTTTATTCACTTCAGTGTTCCCACCATATACAGGACGTCTTTATAGGCCACACTTATATATGTTCAAAGAGTCTTGTTTCTCTGACAGAATTAAGATTCCTCCGTAGTAGACCGGAAATCTTGATAAATATTTTTGAGTACCACAAGATAACTCTATATTTTCCTGTATTGTTCTGTACATCAGTTTTTAAATACCACTTTTGAGAGATTGCTCTGTGAGTTTCTACCATTGGTTCTGGTTCAACATAGGGTTTTCTGCGCCTTTCCTCGATAGAAAATCTGCTTTTTTATTATCAGTCATACCACTGTGTCCAGGTACCCATGCCAGTGTAACTTTATTGAACCTTGCTAATGAATCTAAAGTTTCTGTGAATTCAAGGACTAGCCTTGAAGTCACCTGGTTATTACTAAATGCTTTCAGAGCAGCTTGACTATCACTTAGGATAGTTATGTTTCATTTTTTGAATACTAGCAGGTTTTGGGTATTGTGCCTATTGACATGATGATATTTATGCTAGATTATCTATTTTTTTAATTGTAGGTCAATCTCGTAAAAAATAAAAATAAGCATTAAAATAGGATAAAAAAAAAACAAAAAATTGTTTAAATTATAATTTAAACATATTTTCATAGAAAATATATATTATTTATATTAAATTATATATATTTATGATTATATTAACTATTGACATATTAAAAAATTATAGCATGACATTAAAAATGATAAGCTAATTATTAAATTAGATTCATTTAAGTTAAAGTTTAAATTGAAAATGATTAGCAGATTTGAATTCAAATTAAATATCAATAATGCATTACATTTCAGTTCAAAGTCATAAACGCTTGATTAGTTAACTATAATGAAGGACATAGAGTTTTGTGTCATTTGCTATGATACAATCTTCCCTAATGTTTTGAACTTTGACTTAGTTCTATACGTTTTTGATAACATCTCTAGGGTGTCGAGACCCTAGAGATTTTATGTAAAAGAAGTAAAAAATTATTTTACTGTTATAATACTATAATTGTGATCTATATAACAATTGAATATTTAATATAAATTTTATTTTTTTAGTTCTATTATCAGACGTTGCGATATTACCAGTAATGCAAGAACCTACAGCAAAACCAATACATTCTAAGGAAGGTGACTCAGCTTTAATGACTTGTGTTGTAAGAAATTTAGGTGATCATACTGTTTTGTGGAAAACTGAAAATAAAGACCGACACAGTTGGAAAGTACTAACCGCGGCTGAATCTAGAATTACTGCAGATAGAAGATTTGAAGTTCTTCATGATATAGGTATTTTTTTTCAATACAAAACAGTTAAAAATATTTAATACTGAATCTTGTATTATAATTAAAAAAGTTAAAACTGAGACTGATTTGTAATAACTATTGACGCAGAAAATAATAAATAAATAATTTTTCATTTTTATCTGTATATTTGAGGAATCCTTTTTTTCTTAAATTTTTATTACAAGGTGAGGTGTAGGTAAGTGTATTTTTTTAATTGACATTTTTAAACTACACTCTTTCTGCCTAGGTTTAAAAATGTTAATAATATTCACAGTACTAGAACAAAAGTTGTTATAAACCAGTGATTTCATAAATAATATAACTTTCTATTTTGTTAGTTAATTAAATATGTATATTGTCATTTAATTATATGAAGTTAAAATAAAGTTAAAATCTTATAAAGTATAAGATATAAACTGAAAATGTACTTAATCATAAATCAAGAAATATATGTAACTAAAAAAATAAATAGTCTTAGAATTATTGATATTTTGTAAGTAATTTGTGTGGGTAATGATTAGCAGATAACTCTGTATTTATAAATCAATAATAATAGAATAAAATAGTTTGACCAATTAGAAAATCATATTTCTAAAATCATGTTTGAAATTATATTAAAAATTTTTATACAACGTCTGAAAAAAGTCAGATTACTCTTGAAATAAAGAGAAAAGTAAAACTTACTCACAAAGTTATAACTCTGAAAAACTTTTTTGATAACTCTAAAAACTATAAACTATTTGTGAAGGTTTTTGATTGCATTAAGTCTCAATTTTCCCACCAACAAATAAACCTTTAATATAATAAGTAGTAGTAGTAGTTGGTAGTTCGGTAAAGTTGTGGTGAATTTCTTTTGTAATTCATGTTTAGAATCCTAAACATTATCTATCAAAGTTTAAATAAGTAGCTAAATTCAATGTATAAATGAATTTTTTTTATATAAAATCAACCATTTATGGAATTTGAATTCTCATAGTATTTAGTTTATCCAAGAATTCATCTGATTGATGTGATTGGCAATCACAACGTTATTCATGATTATCATTTTCATTACCAGTTTTTTTTCTCATTTAATAGCTAAGCTTAATCTCCTTAATTAGAGAGAATAGAGTTACTTATGTCAAAATTAAAATGGTCAATGAAATTGTAATTTTACTAATTTTGAAATTAAATTATAGTTTAGTAGTAAGGGCCTAATTTTAATATATTTTTTTTTTCGGTAGAAATATCTTGTAGGCTAATATTTTTTTAATGGCCTTATAACACGTTTAGTTAATCCACTACATCCATGTTGTGTACATATTATTTGTATTCAAGTTAACCTGTGATAAAGAGATAGGAAGTTATAATAATTTAAAAAAACAATAATAATTAGTTTTACTAACATATATATCTAAGGGCGATTATTCAGGGGATAGAATTTCCCACGATGAAATAAATATATGATTAAGATATATAATGGAGAGGGTAAGAAAATTTCTTATAATTATCCCTCTTAGAAACAACTCTGAGAATTCCCTTGTAAATATAACTGGTATTTTCTAATTCCCACTTTCTTATCAAAATAATAAAAAAAAAGTTGATCAAAAATTTAATTATTTTTCTTTGAGAGTGTTAATTATTTTTGATGTTTAAAGGTCGAGACTCATATGTAACAATGTATTTGGGTCTAATAATTATAACACTCAATATCAGGTATGCATATGAATACCCTGTTTAGTTTTATTGTATGAAAGTAGTTGAACTATTTACATGAAATTTCCTAGAAAATAATATTAATGTTATGATAAACTTTCAAGTTTAGTTTTAAACGCAACCATTTGAAAGTTTGCCGATAGCAAAAAAAAAAGTACAATACTCTTTTCAAAAGTTAAAATACTACTGAAAATTGTAAAAACTTTACCCTTCAACAATTATATATTTTTTAAGTCAATAGTAAAAATATAAAAATAACGACAATGTTTTAATAATATAATTTATAATATTGAAGTTTTTTATTATCTTTGATTTCTTTTAAATTATTCAAGGTTGGTCACATAATCTCTTTATACTCAAAAATAAAGAGTTTATACAAAATTTATAAAATAAAATATATCTTTAAAATAAATTTAAGCTATTTAATTTCAAAGAATATTCCAGAAGCCTTAAGTTGTGGAATCTTGTTATCATATTGTTTTTATGAAATTATAGATTAATTTAAAATTTAATATTTTTATAACACTTTGTTTAAGGTGGTGATGTATGGGTATTATCAATTAAGAATGTTAAGTTTAATGATTCTGGTGTATACGCATGCGAAGTAAATAGTGATCCTGTAGTTCGATCATTTCACACACTGTCAGGTGACAGATTTTGAACTTATGACTTAATTTTTTATTCTAATTTAAGTAAATTTGTTTATGTTTTAACAGTGTTATCATCTAGTCTTGAACCACCATTAGAAAATCTAACGTCGGAATACTATGGAAAAGAAGACGAAACTGAAGCTATCGATGTGAAGAATCATAATTATACTGATTGTTGTTTAGCTAGAAACGTTAGCTCCAGTTGCTTAGGTTTTTGTAATATACAAAGTATTTTAGATGGTAATACAGGACAAGATCCAGAAAACTGTGAACCAGATTTCAAATCCATTGTAAAATGCATGGCAGGTTAGTTAATTTGAATTATTACTTATATTTTTCTTCTTATAATTATTAATTTTACTTCATTGTCCGTTTTGATTTTATAATTATTTCTACATATTTGTTTATACGTTATCAATGAAAAGTACTACATATATATTATATTATGCGTTATTGTGTTATAGACGGAAGAAATCACGTTCCGTGCTGCATTCAAGAAGGCATTCCAGATATATGCCAAGATGTTTGCCAAGGGGAATACACCCCAATCACTGACAATATAAAAACTATGGTTTCGTGTTCACCTTACACTGAACAGACATTGGCATGCATCGTCGAGGGGATAGGTAAATACTATTGATTGACGTAAAAATTCCGTCATGTTCGCTCGTAATTCTTTCCAACTGGATTTACAAGTCAATTGTTTACTAAAAACGTATTGTCTAGTCGTCAAATAAGTGTCTACATTAGAAACCATGTGGTATCACAGAATAGATAATATCTATTCTGTGACAGTACTTTGAATCTCTTATCTTGAAACTATGATTTACCCCTTCACTTTATTTCGATCTTTATTGAATATTTATTTTTTTACTTTCATTTATGTTATAAATTGATTTTAAGTCAATAATTTATAAAGTAATAATTTTTAAAGTTTCTAAATTATATTACTCAGAGCACAAAGCATTCATATAGTAGCTTTATGGATAATTACTTTTTAAATACTAAATTGTAGAAATACGTGTTTTTTAAATTATTACTTTTAATTTTCAGAAATATTACCAAGTCAACCTGAAGATGTTCAAGTTGTAGCTAATAGTAGTTCTAATTTTAGAGTTTCTTGGGATCAACCTAAATCTAACTCGGCTTCCGTCAAAGAGTTTATAGTCAATGTTACAATGCTCAAATCATTTGACGACATGAAATTATTTTCAGATAACGACAGAAACAGTCAATCAGTTGTCACGCCCCATAGTATACAAGTCAAGGTAAAAACTCATAGATTATTATTATCATAGATAATTCAACTATAAACATAAATAATTCCATTATTAGTTAACATTAATGACGAAGCAGTATTTATGAAACATTGTCAAATTGTTTTAATAATTAAAAAAAAAAAAAATGTTACCCAATTATTTTTACCAAGATCTAGCCATCATAGATATCTTAATAAGATAAAATATTCTTATACTAGGATATGGTGATAAATTAAATTAGTAATGTTGCAATCATGCTTAACCTCCTCTCTAAAAGCTATTGCTTGTGCCAGAGAGGACAATAAAACCTACATAGCCCAACGCAATGAAACCGAACCCTAGTATTAACTCATCGTTATCAACCAAGCTCGGTAGGCCATAAAATTATTCTTTAGTTATTCTTTTTCTTCATTTAATAATTTAAAGGCGTGATATATATTATTTCAAAGAGTTTTTGGTAATTTATTCTTGTAGGTACACAAATTTCATAAAAGATTATTATTTTTTAATTATTCCAACAATACTTAGTATTTACTATTTACACAGAAACTTTATAAATGCTATTTTCTTTAGGTAATATATTCGTTTGCAATGTTATTAGTAATATGTATTACATTATTAACATTTTTCTACAAATAAAAACATTTCCTTTTTTTTTTATGATAAACTAGTATTTTGTAGGTGCCTGGAACTGAAAATGAAATAAAAATTGAAAATTTAACACCATATACTATGTATGAAGTGACTGTAATTGCCAATAACAAACACGGATCTAGTCTACCGTCATTAGCAATTCGATCTCTCACATTAAATACAGATCAAAAAACTACTCGTAAAGCCAATATTGACAATTCTAAGTTACCACTATTGCCTGATATAAGATCGTGTTGCGTAAAAAAAGGTGTTACACATTCTTCGTGAGTAAAAAAAAGTAGCTAATAAATAAGTAAATATAGGTTATTTATATTTTTAGTATGATAATTAAAATTAAAAAATCAATTTTTAGTTCAATAAAATACTTTATTTAAGAGTTTTAATTTTTAAAAAGGTGTTTGGACAAATTATGCGATCCATCGAAGTCTGATGGAGCACAAGTAACTGACTTAATGATATGTGCTCCATGGGCATCTCAAACATTTAGTTGCCTTACAAACGGTATGGATCATACTCCTTGCTGTCGTGCAAGAGGGTTACCACCACTATGTCAGACATTGTGTGCCGGTAATCTCACCCAAATTGATTTCAGTTATTTCAGGTAATTTTCATTTTAAAATTTTTGAAAACTATAAAATTTCAATAATCATATTTATTTTTAGATGTTTACGTTACATGGACGATTACACAAGTTGTCTTCTCCAAGGTTACGGTATTGTTCCATCCAGTCCAAGACGTCTTCGTGTTTCAAATATAGACGTTGATTTTGCAATATTTCATTGGGAACCACCAAAGAATTTAGGAGATTCCGTAACACACTACAATGTGTTTTTTAGACTAGTTGACGATGAATATGATTCTATAACCAATGTTCATTCTCCTTTTATATTGGAACATTTAAAACCTAATACTTTGTACGAAGTATTTGTGGAAGCTGTTAATGCACATGGTTCAGGAGAACCTTCGCAACGAATTGTGTTTTCAACAAAGAGCCAGGTATTAAAATTTGTTTATTACTTTATGCAATGATAATAAATGTGTATTTTTTTACAGTATTTATATTTATATATTAATATTTCATAAGCTACATTAAAAAAATTTGTCTTTATCAATGTTAATAAATATTAACATTGATATTAATACCATTCAAAGAAATGATTTATGTCCAAAAATGTCATTAAAAAATATATATATATATATGACTTCGAAGATAAAAAAAAAATATATGTGATTTCGTTTTGGCCTAGGGAGTTAGGTTTAAAGACTTGAACTAACGTCATTTCTACAATAAATGATTTCTCGTGGTATATGAATCACAGTTGTTAAAAAGCGGTTTTTATTAAGTCAAATAAGTAAATGAGTTTTGGTACATTTAAAAAAAAAATTATTGGTTTAATAATTGTATAAAATCTTAAGTAATTTTCATTATTTGACAATATATGGTTACACTACGAAGAATGATAAAAAATAAAGAATTCAAACGTTCTAGCTGACTCAAAAATAATTTTATTTTAAAAATATTTTCAGAATTAGTATTTAAGGTATATTATAATACAACCTCGATGCCACCATCCATTTTTAACTTTTTTTTATTTATACTTGAAAACGAGTTTTATAACTATAGCGAATTTTTTCAATTTTATCATTCCTTAGTAAAAATTTAATATCGTTTTAGAAGTCGTCGTCGCTGGTTTAGTGTTTATTCCTCGAAAAATCACTTTTTCTGACTACTTGATTAAACGACTATCCAATTAGAAAATCAAAATTTTTTTATTTAATTATAAAATAACAAAACGTCGACATTTTTGTAATCTAAATTCCTTTGAGCATAAAATAAAATTAAATTTGACAATATGTTTAAACAAAACTGATATATTAGTTCTATAAATAAAAACACAGTTATGTAATGTAGAAACTTAGAAAGATAATAATTCTAAAAATGTCTATCGTATAAATGTCAATAAATAGTCATTGACCGCAACAATAAATATTTGAATTAATTATTTTTAAAACTTAGAACAATAGCAGCTCATTGAAAATTATATTAATGAAATAGATAATATTTTTTCCCAAGCATCTAAGGATTATAGTTAAAATAAGATATATTCAGTTTTTAAATATTATATAAGTACCAAAAGCCGTAAAATGGTCAATTTTTTTGAGGGGTAAATTAATTTTTCTTATTTCAAAAAATAATTTTATTATCTAATATTATTATTAATATATATAAATATAAATTTATATAATTTTGATAAATTTCTGGGTCAAAATTATAAACTGAGGTAAGCTCTCCTATGTCTTCGACCCAACGATTATATTAGCACCCAATATAAAATGTTTGACCATCGCCGTGGAATCCGTGACTTCACATGCCCATTTTTATATTGCACGTAAGTCATCAACAGGAAGTATGATATCATTTAAATAATTGATTAAGTTTTACATTGACTATATTTTGTGGTTATAATTAATACATATACAATTAATTATAGTAGTAGTATAATTTGCGTAGAAAAATTTGTATGCTTATATAAAAAAACATTTATTATTATTTCACATTACAAAAACATAAAACACAATAACTCCAGTCAACCAAAGTAAAACCAATACCTTCTCAGCTTCGAATTGAAGCTTACATCTTATTAAAGTTCTTGATTATGAACAATTATTATTATTATATTTAACTAAAATAATTCTTGCTTCAATGCAGAATTGGGCTTTTTTTATTTTAATGTTTTTAGTTTTGATAGAAATTATGAAGTTTGATATACAGTTATTAGAGGATTATTAGCTGATAGAAAATATTTTAGTTATAAATTGCTGGATTTTCATTCTTGGTATTGAACTTATTTTTGTTAAATTAACTCTCAATAATATCAATCAACTTTTAAGATGTTCCTATAATCTTTCTAATTCACATAACCATCTATACAAAGAATCATGTGAGACTATTGAGAATATTATATCATAGCAATAAAATATTTTAATAACTGATGATTTTAATTTAAATCAATTTTCAGTTTTTGATTATAATTCTTTTATTATTCTATTGTTTGTTAAAGTTTGCACTGTCTTTAAGTGACTTATTTTGAATATTATACTGGGAATTTTACATAAAAAAAAAATTTTTACCTCCTCCGTATCGTACCAAAAGTACTTAAATAATAATATTTAATTAAATTATGTTTATTTATATTATTTATCAATGTAAAATCAATAGTTGCCTACGTTGATCTAAAAAATATTTTGGTGTACTCTTTGAAAAAGTTCTTAGTTTTGAAATTATTCATAAAATTATAATAAATTTTATTTTATTTAAAAAATCTTTATCCTTCTTTTTTGGATTAAATCTTGAATTTGGTGCCTTACTCAACACTTAGTTGTGAAGGAATTGGTTTTACCATGATGTGTTTTTTTATGTATAAAAATGCTCAGCTCTTAATGAACCAATTTTTTTTGTTAAGGTATAAAAAAAATTCAATTTTAGTATAGTTGAACCTATCAGCGTAAAAAATTTGAACGAATCCCTCAATTTTAGATTTAAAAAAAAATATCTCAAATATTCTCTACCGTAAAAAATGATGGTTTTAATTTTTTTCTGTTTTTTCAAAATGCTAAAAAGTTAAAAAAAAATTGACTTCAATGAAATTCTAATAAAATGTATTAAAGATAATTTTTTTTTTTGGTATATTCTTCATGAAAATTTAATGAAAAACCTAAGTACAGAAATATACTGACAAAAATCATCTACGCATGTAAATTTTTTTTCAATATCAAATTAAAACTATTGAAGTGTACTACATTATTAAAAAAGAAACTTTTCACAATTGTTTTACAATGATAGATTGACCGTCAATTTAGTTATTCTTACAATTTAGTAATTGTAAAATTATAATTTACAAGTTATTGTGAAATTTAACGAATTCGCTTGGAAGCGACTTTAATGATAGTGGTGTTAATTACTGTTCCAACTTTTATGCTATCTGTTGACATTTTGTATGTGTTTTTTGAAACAGCTCCCATCCTGATAATTTTAGCCGTTCTATAGTATCCACGATTAAGATACTTTCTTTAAGAAATAGGCCGTTTTAAATGGCTATATAAACAAAAAAATATAGTTCCTACCCTAGCGTTATATAGACATTATATTCATTTTTTACTTTCCTGTAAAAATTTAATTTGAAAAATATATTATTTACTTATAGGTTATCAATCGCTGTCTTAAATATTTACTATTACCTTATTAGTAAAAGAGTATTCTTTTACAAATTATTATTTTTGTATTTTTGTAAATTACATCTATTAAATAATTTATTTTTGATAATACTATGATTATATTTATTGTAGAAATAATGGTAAACTTTAAATACATAATTATGTTTTTATTCTTGGCTATTTCACTTTATTAATTATATATATAAATTAATTATTTTTTATATGGTTTGTTTGTTTTGATAGATAGTTAAAAATCGAGAATTGACTTCTTCGTCGTATAATGTGACAGAATGTTGTGTTAACATTAAACTTCATCAAACGTGTATGCCTCTATGTTCTTTTGATGCAAATATGACTGATATAAGGAATTTAGCTCCATTTTGCGGGACTGAACTTCACAAACTTATCAAGTGTGGTGCTGGTGGTCGGAATCATGGAGCTTGTTGTACACGCCGAGGAGTACCAAGCACATGTACGCCTTTATGTTCTGGCGTTGTACCTGATACTTTGATCAGCACAGCAGTTAACTGTGCTTCATTTATCGGCAATGTTGTACAATGTTTTGAAGAAGGTTAATGTCTTTTAAATTCGAAATAAAAAGTACTTAAATGTATAATTTCCGGAAATTAAGAATTGATCAGGAAATAACAGTTCCTACAGGACGATGATCCTTTCCTGCAAATGAAAGTAAAATTAAAAAACCTAGCACAGTGGGGTCGCGGCATNTAGAATATACTTAAGGCAATTTTTCTGAATTGAAATTTTAATACTGGTTTTGTGATGGTGTACGTTTTTTATGTCTGTTTATGAAAATTCTCAGCTTTGGCTGGACCGATTATATGATCAATTCGTCAAAAGAAACCAATTTTAACCGAATTAAACCTATCGTCTCTCAAAGTAAAAAAACCCTCAATTTTAAAAATGTAAAAGAATATTTAAAAAAAGTCATTTACCATGTTTTTTTTTTTTTTTGAGTTTTAAAATTGCTAACATTCTTTTTATTTATATATTAGGCCCTGATGAAATTTGATTATAGTACTTTAGAGATAATAATAAATATTCTTTTCGTTTGCTTTTTATGAAAATCCAATGAATAACCTAAATACAATAAGTCTTTGAATGAGACACCTGTCACACATGGAAACATTTTATCAACTAAAATCTTGAAAGTTTTTCTGAAAGTTTGACAACTTTAAAAAAATATTAAAGAAAACATTTATTCTATGATTGTATTAATTTAAGAAATTGTCCGTCAAAATAAAAAAATTGATTGTGAATTATAATTTGGATGTAATTTTAAAAGAAGAAATTGTAAAATTTACTAAACTCGTATAAAAGCGTTATTAATGATAGTGATGTTAATTAATGACAGATATCATCTATACTTGTTGAACTATGTCGCATTATAATTTAATTAAATACTTATGTTGTTAATTAAAAAATAAAATTCAATTTCTTATAAGGTATAAAAGATGATTTAAAAAAGTAGTTAATAACTGATAAATCAGAAATAAAAATTAATGAAAAATTATTTTTTAACATAATTATTATTTTAAGAAAAATCAAGTGGCTAACATTAAAAGAATCAATCTGTACAATTATAAAATTATACAAAAGTAGCTTGGAACCCTTGTTATTTCAATCTTTATGATAATAGTCGGCTTAGTAGTCTATTACAGTGACGATTTCTTAAGAGGGATAAGGAATTCTTTATATCCTTAATAGGGGATCTAAAGTTTCTATCTATTTTAAGTTAGATTATTTTTTTTTATTTGTAGAGAAAATTTTCTTATATATCCCTGTGGATAGGAGTTAAAAATACTTAAAAGAGTCTACTTATAAAGTCATGTCAAGTCGACAGTCGGTATAAAATGTTTACATATATGTTCGGAAAATCATAGAGAGTAAGAAAAAGCAGTGGTACTGGCGAGAATGTAAGAAACAATATTATGTGAAGTGGAGTGAAGCGTTTGGTGTGTTATGTGATAAGAAAATTCCAATGAGGCTGATAATTTAGAAAAATTCTATAAGACTGTAGTGAGACCAGCTATGATATGGTTGAAAGTGTTGAGCGGTTGACAAGAGAATAGAGCATAGAATGAATGTAATAGAGATGAGAATACTTAAATGAATGAGTAAAGAGACTAGAGAAGATAGGATAAGTAACGAACATATAAGAGGGAGTATAGCTATAATGTCAATTGTGGATAAGATGAATAAAAATAGACTTAGATGGTTTGGTTATGTTATGAAGGGAGAGAAATCGGAAGCTGTAAGAACGGTTGTGGAAATGAATGTTGGGGGAAGAAGAGGTAGAAGTACACCAAAAGGGGGTGGAGGGATGCGATGTGACGTCTGATATATGTGTAGATGATGTGGATGATCGTGTCAAGTATAAGTTTAGGATAAAAGTGGCTGATCCCAAGTAGTCAGGATAAATCTAAATTTCTTGTTATCCAAGTTAAATTTTAATATCATAGCTTATTTATGTCTGTTGTAGGAACTGGCAAGCTACCAGGACCTGTTGGTGATATGCATGTAGTAAAGTTAACTAATACTAGTGTTTCGTTAGCGTGGAATCCTCCTAACGACAATAGTAGTTTCACCAATTTTGTAGTTCATTATCAAAAAGTTAACAACGTTACTGTACATGAAAATACAATCAAATTAGATCAGGTATATTTGAAAAAATTATACTTTAATCAAATAAATATATTGGTATCGTAATGTTAGTGCATTCTTTTTACATTTTTTTGGCATTATCTAGTAAAAATAAAATTGATTGCAATTATTTTTTGTATGTGTGATATTCAATGTTTAAAATAATAATATTATTTATAAAGTAATTGAATATATGTAAAATTCAAAGCGAGTTATTGTTATTAATTAATGATGAATGCAAATGCGTTTTTTTTTTTTTAAACTTCTCTAATAGGCCTTTAGGATCTCAATCTATCCCTGATACCTAATATATTTTATTTATACTATAAATTTGTGAAAAATATTTAGTTAGTTATTATTGTATAATTTTATATTTATTTTTAGCAAGTTGAAGTAAATGAAAATTCAATTCAATTAAATAATTTAGAATCAAGAAAATTGTATAAAATTTTCGTTATTTCTAAAAATGCATATGGTACATCATTACCAACATCTATACTCTTACTTAATATTACAGATACAAGTAAATTTATAATTCAATTGATTTTGTACATTTATTAATCATGTATATGCAATTTACTAAATAGATCTGAACAATAAAAAAATAACGGGTGTACCATCGCCACCTCATTCCCTTGTTATTTCTAGTCACAGCGCCAATTATGTGACTATTAATTGGCAACCACCTGAGTTCAGTCATGTATCTGAAGAAATTAAGTATACGTAAGTTATGATTAAGTAATTTTTTATTAAATTTATAAAGTTAAGATTTATTTATGTAATTTTTTCCTTTTGTTAAAATTTATAAAAAAAATCATTTCCGGGTTGAGGAAGTTTACTTGCTATTTGACATCTTCTCTCAATTTTAAACATTTTTATATAGTACTTAATCGTTTGCTTTACTGTGGTAGTAGTTTTCAAGTTCAAATCCCTTGAAATTAAAAAATTACATGATTTTGTTACAATAATGTAAAGGTGAAAATTTTTTTTTCATCAAAATTTCTCTTGGATGAAATCTTATAAGCGCTAATAACCTAAGTCAAATTTTGATTATTTTTATTGCTGAAAAATGTTTTATAATAAAAAATTTTACTTGTTTTTCCTCAATATTTTTTATGATCATTCAAATATTTTAATTTTTAAATATATTATAAATATATTTTTAAAAATTGTAAAAAATTTTGAAAAGATAAATTTTTTTTTTGTTTTATTCCCTAAGTCTGTTTAGTCATAAAATATCATTTATATTTTAATAATAATTATACTTCATTTTTTACAGACTCTTTTGGAAACCCGTTTCTGAAACATTATTTCGCAAAGTAGATGTAGCTGTTACTGCACATATGTTAGAAGATTTGTCTCCTAATTCTCAGTATATTATTTATGTTATTGCGACGTCGAAAAATGGAAATAGTTTACCTTCCGAAACATTAATTGCATGGACCGATCCAGCTTACCCAGCATTTGTAGAGGTGACTTTTAAATTTATTAATATTTTACTTTAAAAATACATATGAAATTACTTTTAATTAATCATTATTCTTTATATATAGAGTTTAAATATTTAGTACTATAGGACAGATCTTTAATTTTTTCAAACTATAATAATATATTGCTTATATATACTTAAAATATATTCAAAAAATGATAAAATTCGAGATGTTCCATTTTTTTTTAATATTAATTTTTTTATAAAATTAAATAGAAGTATCCAATTTTATTAGTTGTATGTTGTTTTTTCTTTGTATAAACATGTTTTATTCAAATAAAGTGCATAATTCCCATTATATGTAACCAATAACATCGTAGTTTCAAATAGTTCAACTGAACATCCATATAATCACTGCTATCTAAATAATAACCATTGTAAATTTATGTTTAATTAAATAAAATAATTTATCGTTATTTCTAATAATTTATTTTAGTAGGTATTTAAAGAACATTTTAAAATTATTTCCCATTTATGAAAGAATAATATAATAATCTTTTGTAATACACCAAAAATAAATATTATTATTTCTTTGGTGGTGAATTCAGGAACTATTTCAATAGTTTATCATCTATTAAATTAAATAACAACATGTAGTAAGATTCAATCCACAGCATTTGTAAATGTTTAACATAGTAGATATGAATTCAATTTGAAGTAGTTGTATAGATAATTTATTATTATAACTAGTTCAAATTAAAACTACTTTTATTTAATAAATTCAAATTACCTCACTTTTAAATGTGCCTCTGTCTCCTCATATTAAAGTGCTTTGGCAATTTTAATAATTAAATTGAAATACCTTACATATAAGTAATAAAAGAAACTCATTAATTTTTTTATCTATTTCAATAGAAATACGTTTTTTGAAATATTTAATTAGAAACTACGTATTTTATTTCCAAAAAATATTATGATGGTTTTTTAAAATTTATATACATTTATACAAGATAATTATTTTATCTTTTTTATTTAACTAACGATTTTATATCTAACCGGTAAGAAGAGTATAGCCGGGAAATAACTAGCGATAAAAAACAGCATCTAATCCTCACCTTCAGTTATTACTTTAATCTGTTGACAATTTCTAAAATAGTAGCTCACAGGTTGTTATGAGCCAGTCATTTTGTTAATTACATTATTAATTATTAAATTAATAATTAAATTAATTATTTAAGCTACTTAATTATTTATATTTCCATCTGAAAAATTATAGTTAACCAGGGTTGTTACGTTCTAAACATTGATTGTTCATAACAATATGTTAGAATATAAGTATAAAATGGATATTTTGAAATTTAATTTAAATTTAATTTTTATTTTTTCTTAATAATAAAAATAATATTTTTAACGTAGTTCAAAACTTTACAAATTATTAAAAAATAAGTGAACATAAATTATTCACTAGTTCAATAGTTATTAATTTTTTTAAAGCAATTTATGTATTCTTAAACTATGTTAAAATCATATTTATTATTATTATTTTTTAATAATAATCATAAAAAAAATATTTTATCATAATTTTTAAAAATAGCCATTTTTAGCCCTTGCTTACGACAAGTTTGGACAAGTACTTTTTGAGTTACAAGCATTTGAATACGTTGAGTGGATGTGTAGTGAATGTGGGCATAGTTCTTACTGTTGTTTGTATACTCTGATTATGTTCCATACCTATTCTATGTATTAAAATGCTTGTTACTTAATAAGAACTTGTCCTAAAATTAAAATTGACCCAACAATGCTTTTTTTAAACAAATTGATTGTTATCTGTTAGATTTGAGACTTAAATATTTTTAGGCTATAAATTTACATTAAAGTAAAATTATAATTTTACAGCCACCTACAGTACATCCAATAAATTTGGTAATTGAAGGTAGTAGCATGACAGTTTTATGTATTGCGATGGGTACGCCATCGCCAACTATTTCTTTGTATATATCTGGAAGATTTGTTAGACAAGAAACATCAAGACATATGGTAACTGTCATTCATAATGTTACAAGGGACATGGACGAAATATCTTGTTATGCTGACAATGGATATGGTACGCCAATGCAGTCTTCTAGAAAAATCAATATAAGTTGTAAGTAGAAAAAACAATTAAAATATATTAAGAATATGATAGTAAATAATAAAAAAAAACCTACAAAATTAAAAAAATAATGATAGTATCAAATTGATATTATCTTTTGTGTTTTAATTTGTTTTATTGTTGTAAATTGTATAAGCCATAAAATAATATTAAAGAAATTTTTTTTTCAGATATTCCTAAATTAGTAGCATCTAAGATAACTATGGCCAGTCTTGGTGATACAGTGACATTAGAGTGTATGGTGGATGCTCATCCTGAACCTAAAATGCTTTTCTGGAGAGATGCACAGGGACGTAAGCCAGTAATTCAAAGTAGCAAACACGATGTTAATGTTATCCGCTCCAAAGAAGATAACACGAAATTTGTCATGGAACTTACTATTAGTAAACTGGCTGAACAAGATGATGGTGATTACTTTTGTCATGCTGAGAATTCATTTGGAAGTGCCACAAAGCCTGTATCTGTTAGAATTAGAAATTCTGTAAATATACATATTTCTTATTAATTAAAGTTACATTAAATATCTGAATTATATAAAATGTATCTCAATATACTGATGATGCAGAATCGTCTTAGTTACCAATCTGAATTTTTGAAAATCTGAAGGGAAATAAAAGGTTTTTTATATTAGATCTTAATAACTATTGTTTTTGTTATTCAATTTGTAAAAACAAACAATGAAAAACGTTTATAAATAATTACAAATTTTAATTAGTTTATAATATATTTCATTATAGATAACAATCAGCAATGTGACACAATGTTGTATTCAACAGAACGTTACCACAGGTTGTTTGGATGCATGTTCTTCTTCGTATCTGGATATAAATATGGCAATAGCCAGAACGGATTGTTTTAATGACTTTGATAAACTGATGAAATGTGCTTCAGGTATTAATTTAAAAATAAAATAGTTAAAACTTTCTTATTATCTCATTTTTTACAATAATCAAGTAATATATATCGCTCAATTTTTTAAATTATGTCTACAATGTATATTATACATAATTTATACTGCACAATTTATATTAACGAGAGCAATTTAGCTTGATGTTATAATTAAAAAGTATTGTCGTGCCACACATTTTTATATAATTTTTCTCATAAAATTTTTGTATATGTGAAATAAACTTAAAGTAACTCGATTTTTGTCTTTATTAAATATTTTAACTAATTTTAATAGTTTTTTTTTTGAATCATTAGATAATTTAAGGAAACCAATTTATCTCGTGAAAATATTCAATTAATTGGTAATCACTTAACACCATTAAAAAGAATTCGTTAATAACATTATCAATAACTGATATTTCTTTATTTCATTCCACTAGAGTAATTTATGGTAAATATATTCTTTCATTTTAGATGGATCAGATCATAGAGCTTGTTGTTCAGATCGTGGAGTGCCTAGACGTTGTTTGGAATGGTGTCGTGGTGAACCCGTTAATAACAAAATGTGTGTAATCTCCTACTCGAAATCAATATTGGCATGTTTCCATGAACTAAAAGGTAAATTAAATTATTAAGTATAGAATTACTATTGTAATAAATATTTATTTGTTTTTATGTCTTATAGACAAACTTCCTGGACCTCCGACTAATGTACGAGTTGAAAACACTAATGATCATACAATTATTGTAAGGTGGGATCCACCCTCAAAAAATCCACAGACAGTAGATGTATACAGGTAAACAACTGATCTAAAATGCATTTGTGATTTTGTTAATTATAAATATTTTTATCATAGATCGTAAATAGGGAGAGAGACTTTAAAAAAGCTTATTCACCTCAAAAAATTTAATAATACACACAAATTTATTGTAATTAAATAATTTAACTACCAATTTTTTGATTAATTTGCACATATAATAATTGTTATAGTTCTTACTACAATGATAAATTATCATTAATTAGTAAATCAATGTTCTTATTAAAAAAAAAATCTATAGACTTAATTTTGTGTAATTTATAGTCTGTCGTCAACAAAAATGTGTGTCATCCCCAATATGATTTTACCGGACTTAAATTTAATTGAAAAATAATAATTGGTTTTTTAACAACATAAAAAAATCAACAATAACTGTTGGCTTATTAATAAAATATTTTTTATTTTCACTCTAGTATCATATTATAAAATATTGTTCAAAAATTCTCTCTACTAGTTGTTCTTAATTTGAGTCGCCAGAAAAAAAAAATAGAAGTATTATGCTAATATGGTGTTATAGTGTATTTTAAAATTTGTATATCCTTGTGTATGAGGTATAGAATACAGTCACAATAGTCCATACTGATCGTAAAAGACGATCAAATTGGGCCTAGGAATGAAAAGCAGTGTTCATAGTACCAGAATGACAAGCAATTACCACTTGAAAATTGGGATTAAACTGAGATGTGAAAGGAGGCGATGACCACCGCATTATTATTCCAAGTAAACAGAATGTAGGAAGATGACATAAGAAATTATGTTATTGACATAGAAACTATCGGAGGTATCAATTCCGACAGAATGAAGTTTAAAGCTCGTTGGTTCGACATTCAGCGAAATTATTGGAAACAGAGATGTGGAATTTAAGAACAACGTTGTAATGCGGAAAATTAGAAAATATCAAAATGAAGATGACAAGACTTAAAATTGGTATACTGGGGTCAGTAATTAAAAAATTATGGTTAAAGTTTCAGGTGCTAAGTAGCACTATATATTGTATTAGAATTTATATTTTACCAATTCGACTTGACAAAAAAAGAATTGTTTTCGATCTACGAGTTTAATTTATTTGTAATAAATGTTTATATTTAATATTGGAATATATGTGAAGTTCCTAGTTTCACACTATTGAATGACCTACAATTGTTAAAAGACCTCGTGAAATATAAACAAGGGAATAAAGAAATTAGTCAGGTGGTATTTAAAATATTTTCAAAACATTCTTGGTGCATAAATGAATAATTAGTTAACTTATATTTTTTTGATTTCTCGTATAAGTAAAAAAGATAAAATAATGATGTTCAAAGGCCTAAATATTGACAAAGAAGAATACAACACAACACAGCGAACAAAAAGCAATAACATTAAAATATATCATATTGTCTCATCTATAATAGAACATTATTTTGAGATTAACAATATTCCAATGGAATTTTTGCAGAAGATTCCTACTGTATGGAACACTGATGATTCATATAACAAATCAGCGGATTTCATAAATAAATTAAATGTTATAAATAATGTTGATGAATGTGGAGTTTCATTGAATGATACTTTTATGAGCAAATAACTACTAATGAAGAACATTACTAGTGTATGCAACAAGTAGTTCAATACAATAGAAAAATTTTCCCATCGGACAACTGAAATAAAAATGTTACTAAAACATTACGAAACGTTGATATAGAGTAAAATAATAAGAATTGATCACTTTTGGCAGGTATTATTTAAAATTATATACAATTAAAATACATTTAAAATATTAATTTAAAATTAAAAATATAAAACATATTTAACTTAATATTTAATGAAGTGATTATGTGTTAATATATCACATAAATACACACATATTCAAGTACATTCCGAATAACTCGGAACTATAGCTGGCAACACAAAATGGCAACTTACCATAAAACTAATTAAAAACGTAAATGATTACAAAAAACTTATTATACGGAAGCAATAAAAATGTTTATAAACAAGAATAATTTTATTAAATGGGTGTTTGGACTACTAAAAAATTCATTATTAAACTTGTGTTAATTGCCAAAATATGACATTCGATTAGTATTATAAGTTAAATAGTATAAATAAATTTATAATATTTAATTTTGTTTTAAAATATTTTTCATTAATTTAAAAAAAAATACTTTTTTGATTATAGCATACTCTTTGATTAATTATTCCTTTACAAGATTTCTAGCAAATCTAAACTAGATGTCTATTTGACAACAAGAAAAATATTTAAAAATATGTCCTGCTATATTATGATAAAATTATACAACATAATGAATTTCATTAAAAATTATGAAAATGAAAAAAATCATTTTGGGTTACAGTAACAACTCTTTCGTTGAAAATTTTTAAGCCAAAAAATGTTCGTTCTTCAGTAAAAAGTAAACTATTAAGATGTACTATACTAATAAAATGTTATCAAAAATGAGTAACAAAGGTCGTTTATTGTTTTTTGGTTAAAATACTTAAATATTGAGCACCCAGTAAATATATATTTTTTAATCTCAAATTATCACAAAATATTTATTTTAATGTATAAAATAAAGTAAAAATTGCACATTAAATATCGATGATTAATTTTGTTTCTTTTATCCTACAAAAACTTTTTTTTTATTTAATAGTAAAGTCCGTTGAGTATTTATTAGAGGAATTTTAATTTGTTTTTTTTTGGTGATTTTTATTATATTAAAATTTAAATGATAATCGACTTTTACCATATAGCAGGATATGGCTATTGATTTTTTAGTTTTTCGACAAAAACTAAAGTTAAAGAAAATAATCCATCTTATTCAGAGTGTTAAAAGCTATAAATTAAAATACTTAGATAAGTTAAAACGCCAACAGTATTCTTGAAAGAATTGATTTTCATTGATCTATATAAAATTGTCTTCTGGATTACATAAATTAAGAGCTAGCAATCTCTAAAAATTTATTTTTTTTTCAAAAAAATTTTGAGGAACTCATTTTTGGAACTAGCCTAAGGTATTAAGGGAACATGCCTTTAAAAAATTAGATCATCCTAGTAAATATCTATAAATAATTAGGTGGTTTAATCACCCAAGAAGGCAAGACCACTAAGAAAATTATAGCAAGGAAAGTGCAGGCAAAAATCACATTTATGAACTGATAAATTACTATGCTATATAAGTTTGGGTTATCTATATGAAGAAATGAATAGTCAATGAGTTTTATTGATTCAACAATTATTTATTATTTATCGAGTGTGGATTTATACGGATCAAAATTTGGATAATTAACAAAGCAGAAGAGAGATGTTTAGATAGCTTCATAATGTGTTGCTGGCAAAGGTTACTAAGAGTTAAACGACTTTTGTACCAATAATAGTAAGCTTAATAAAATGGTAAATCTAGAGGATTATTAAGATGAATCAAATAAATTGATGCCTAATTGGACATACTTTATGAAACAAGGAGTAATTCTATGATTTATAAGTATAATATATGAATAAAAATCTATTATAGAAATTCAACGTAGTATGAAATTGATATTTAATAATTTAGTGTTGTAATTTTTACGGAGAAATTATAAAGTAGTTGTTACTTTTATAGCAAACGCGTATACAAATTGAAGGGCTTGATATAAAACTTTTCAGAAGATAATTTGTTGTTAATTATGAATGGTCTACAAGGAATTTTCATCATAAACAAAAATATACTTTTATTGATCAATTTTTCGAGCTGTATTAATATCTGCAATTAAATTTTTTACTGATTTTTTGTAAATTTCCCTCATTTACAGGGAATGAGGGAAATTTTTCCAATTTTTAAGGGTAATGTTTTCAATTAGATACGATTTGTGATCTTTTGACGTATTGTTGAAAGAAATTGGTTCGGTGAGAACTGACAAAAAGTGGCAACAGACATAAAAAAAACTTATAGTAAAATTAATATTAATACCTTCTCAGCTTCCCATCGAATCGAAAAACAATACAAAAATATGGTAACAGTCATTATAGTATTATAGCAATGACAATAATATTAATCGTTTTGGAAAATAATTCAACTCCTGAAGTTTTTATCAAAATTATATTATTATTCCAAATTTTTTTAATTTTAAATTTATTATTGTTTAAACTATACCACACAATATTATTTTTAGGGTATTTTGGAGACGCGTAGGTAATTCAAGCTCCGAGAAAAATGATACCAAAGAAACATCTATGCGAATAAGCGGTCTAAAAGAAGATTTTATCTACGAAATTGTAGTAAAGGCTGGTAATGACAAAGGAATGAGTACACTTACAAATCCGATTAGATTTACAACATCAGAAAAAGATGTTACATCAGCCGCCAGTATAGGTAACATATTTTTTGTTTATCACTTATTTTATGGCCCATTAAGGGCCATAGCGGTCTCCCTAAGGAGAAGGTTTCTTGACTATTGTTACTTAAGGACGGGTGATTAGTCCGTCACCAAAGAGAGGGATGGTGACTCCAATTATCGAACTGATCTCTCTCTCAATAAATGAAGCCGCCCGTGGCTTTCCCCGAACTCGATTTTCTGAATAGTTTAACGATCAAAACTAAAACAGTGGTTCAAATTGTTGAAAAAACAATTAATTAGCAATGGGTTTATTTTACGTTAAATCGTGGCAACGAAATACTCATGATTTATTTGGATTACTGAAAATAATGTTACATATTAATGAAAATTATTAAGTATTTTTTAAGCTCATTCCTTGTACCTTACAAGTGGATCTACTTTATTTTTTTTTATGTAAATAAATAATTATAAAATAGAAAAGATGTAATTAAAAAAGTGACTGGTCGATAACAATTATTTTTTTGAAACAGCATTTTAGAAGTTATTAACATTTTATTACTTAAGTGAGAGAAGAAGTGCGACCGAGTATTGTCTAATGATAAAAATAGTTATATAACAGCATCTCTCCCCTAGCATACATTTAAAAACTATTATAATTTTTGAAGTGTTCGTCCATAAGTTGTTATCCATCAGTCATTTTCTTATTAGGGTAAACAACTGATCTNTTTAAAAACTATTATAATTTTTGAAGTGTTCGTCCATAAGTTGTTATCCATCAGTCATTTTCTTATTAGATTCTTTTTATTTTATAGGCTAGTCAATGCATACTTTTTTATAAAAGAAATAAAATTGATACTCTTAATAGATATAAGGGATGAATTAATATAATATTATATTTAATTTATTATATTTAAGCGGTACCTTTATTCTTTTTATTTTATTAATATTATAATAATATTTGTTATTAAAAGAAAAAAATTATATTTTTAATCTTATCTAAATTTTCTCATGTAGTTCTTCTTTCGAGGAAAACTTAAATAATGTTGAACACAATATTTTTAAATACGCTACTTAAAAAAATTTAAATTACGTCATTTTAAATTAGACATATAAACATGAGTTATCAAAAAAAATTATCATCATATATATTTTAAAAAATGCTAATAATTTTAATCAATTAAAAATTTCTAGTTACTTTAACTAATGATGATATTTTTTCAGGTGAAAGTAGAACTGATATTGGAACGATCTTTGGAGTATTTGTTGCTATTTTAATTGTAGGAGGTATTGTAGCTGGTGTAGTATACTACATGCATAGTCATGGCAATCTATTGCATAAATCTTCTAGCGGTGTTTCTTTTGAAAACCCTAGTTATTTAAGAGAAGTCAACATGGAGAATATGGTAATAATTTTACATAAATTAAATTAAAACTTGTGTTTATAAATATGAATTTTTCTTCGTATTCGACTGATCTATCCTTAGCCAGGTTTAAAAACTACATATATATATATATATATATATACAAAATTGTTATTAAATTTCTGTTCAACTTTTTTTTAGAATCAGACTGATTTGTCTTATTCGACTCCAACTAATGGTTTAGATTCAGCTGAATGGAAACAAGACCACTTGCATACAGCTACTGAAGTACCTCCAACGTTATACGAAGAACTTAAGCTCGGCTCAAACGGTGCCGGTTTCAAACGACTAAAACCATAAAAATGAAACACTAAGTATAACAAACCAATAAAAAATTTATTTTATGAAATAGTAGCGATTAACTAATTAATTAATTATTTGTACAAATTTAATTAAAGGCGTCCATAAAATATTTTCCAGGGAGGGGATGAAGAAATTTTTTGTTTTGATGACCTTTATTTTTTGTTTATTATTTAACCATATTGTATTATATTTAAATGAAATAATTATAAAATCTTATGAAAACACAATCATTTCTTTAAAGAAACATAATTTTCACTACAACGTTAATATTTCGCGATGAACATGTGTTCTTCCTCTTGTCTTCATCTATGGGCGCTCTTGAAATTAACTGAAACAACTACTTTAGGTTAAAGTCACCAAAAATGTTATGTAAAATATTAAATTATTGTAATATAATTACCATTTTAACAACATGTATAAATTAAGTAATGAATAATTTTAAATTGTGATGAAGGGACTATCCCATATCATACGGAATCAAATGTTATGTTCTAGTTTTGGTAACTTACATATTGAATCCACTATGTATAAAAATTGATATATTTTCTTATGACCTCTGTAATTTTAAAAATATTCTTTAAGTTCTAATTCAAATGATTTTTTATAAAAGTTATTTTAAATTTTAAGAATATTTTTTTTATATACTTATAAACATCAGATAAATATAAAAATTACAGAGATCACAAAAAATGATTGAAAAATTTAATGTATATTGTTAATGTTATATAACTTTACGTAAAATTAAAATAAAAAAATTTATTATGTATAGTCAACAATAGATTCTTTGTTAATATACCTATTATGTTTTAATTTTAATTTTATTTTTATTATTAATTTTTTTGTAATATATATATATACATATAAATATTTTTAAAAATGTTTTATATTTTTAAGACATTTTGTTATCATATGTAACCACTATGATCTCTATAAAAAATGTCTTAAGTTTTATTGCAATAACTTTATTGAAATGAGAAAAAAAAATTGATTTCTTTCATTTTACTAAATAAATGTCTGATTGATTTTTTATAAAATTGTAACGTGATTATTGAAGTATAAAAAACATTTTATATTTTTTTTGTGTTTGATGCGAAGCTTAAAAGAATGTATTAATTTTACCTGACGTCATTATTTAGTTATTTTTTTGCGTGTATCACTATTTTTGCTCAGATCTCACTAGATAGATTTTATATAATGATACATTAAAAGACCACAAATTGTATGTAGTTAAAGACATTACCCTTAAAAGTAAAATAAAAAATCCCTCATTCCCTGTAAAAATAGTGAGAAATCCCTCCAAAAAACTTCAATTTTGACATTTTTTTTATTTAAAACTGTCATAACTCTTTTAAAAATGTATTATTCAAAACAAATTGTCTTTATAAATAACTTAGGTATTTCCTTTTAATTTGGTATATTTTTATTTGAAATCTGAACATTAACAAATTCACAATAGGGATTCAAAATAGTAACTTTTGCATGAAAAGTTAACATTTTCAACTTAAAAAAAAAAATTTATCCCAATATTTTATCTTCTGTATGGAAACTGCCCCGTAGTTAAAAGAAATGTTCTTTGAATGTAAACAATTACCATTTTTTGTATTATAATTTTCTATTTAACATTTTTTTTCAATTATTTATTTTTGTATTTTAGGTTAAATGGTACTCATATGGGAGGGGATAATTAATCACCCTATAACAAAAAAAATCAAAAATTTAAGTGTTAGTTATACATATTTTACAGCTTTTAATGACAATCCAATAAGAATATTTAAAGGAAGGGGATTGCCCTATTCAAAATAAATGCTACCAATGGTTTATAATAAATTATTATTTCTATTTCATAGTTGAAATAATAATTAACTACCGAAGGTCAAAATAACCGAATGAAGAAAATAAATTTATCTTATATAGAGGATTTTTGGGGTCTGATCATTTATCGATTTATAATTACGATAGTGGAGTATTGAAGCAATAAATCTCTGTGCTACTCTAAATTCTGAATACAATCTGGACATCTCCCCACGGAAAATTTCTAAATACATCACGACAAAGACCTTCAGGCACATATCTAGAAATGCATTGCAGGTATATTTTGACAAAAACGTTAGCATTTAATAAGTATGATGAAATTTTAAACAATTTTGAGAGGTAAGATTCAAAACACCAAGGACCTCCTCTGAACACATCCCTACCGACCTTGACTATTATACAATGTATACATTGATTTATTTATATAGCAATTCAAAAAATAATTAATTGATATTATAAATTAAATTGTGTTTCTTTATATAGATTAATATATTAAATAGTCATATTTCATGATTCGCTACACACATGTAGGTAAAGAAGTGTTTTGTTTTTAGTTTCTTGATCGCACGCATTAGTGAAGTTTTATGCCTAAACATAGAGTGTTATATTTAGCTTTATAATTACTTCACTGCGATGCTCCCTCATTTTAGTAGTGTTTTGTTCATCGTTATATTAATATTCTTCATACTCATTTGTTATTAAACCATTTTATCTTATTTAAACAAGTTAATATACAATATTTGTATAGTATTGTAATAGTTCATAAATTAAAATAATCAAGTATACTATTTGTGAAATTATCAAACATAAATATAATTGACTATAACTGGTTTAGAATTAAATTTTAAGGAATGCTGTCAGTTATACGATCGAAATTGAACCACCAAAATATCCTATTTTTGTGTAGTTATCATAAAAGTCCACACAATACTATAACAGGTAATATTTTTGAGTAACTAAAATAATTAAATCAGGTAAATCAATTCAGTTTGATGCTTAAGGACTATTTATAATAATTATGTATAATTATAATTATAATTTTACAATTATTGTAAAATATTAAATGATAGAAGGTGTTCACATACGGGATATTAATTTATTATTATAATAATATAATTTGTTCTTTTTACATGATTTAATATATTTTCGTGGTTTTCCGTAGAAACAGAATACATGTTAAACATTAAGTTCTCCTTATGGTAGGATGTTACAAAAACTAAACATAATTAATCTCTATATAATTATTAAAATAATAATATTTTCAATTAATTATTAAGAAAAAATCCCTATAAAATTATGGTTTTGTATAAATTTTAATTATTAGTTAGATTCATTGTCATGACCCATAGCGACATGACAACATAAGTATTTTATATCACGCACTAACTGTATCAATAATAAAGTAATAAAATCAACTATATTTTAAAGTTTGTACACCTGTATCATGATAATGTTGTTCATCGAGTCCCGGTATGGTTTGTTCAATAAAATAAGTAGAATTATGGCTAGCACGTATGTACCTATGATGTAGGTATAACATAAGTAAAATCTATTTCCACTACTTTTAAATGTCAGAGAGTGGATTTGAGAGTACATGTAGGTTTGGTTAAAAATCCTTCATCTTCACCACCTACCTATGTTTCTATATTTTATGTCTATTATCCATCCTCCGCATATCACAGTTATGATATTGCATATGTAAAAATTTCATTTAACTTAGTTATTAAAAATGTATTATATCTTTATTACTTTTAAATAGAACTTAAAAATTTAATAACTTAAAAAACTTTAATTAAAAATTAAAACTTTTTTAACAATTAATTATTGAATACTGTTTTCTTTACATAGACGAAATTATCATTAAAATATTTTGTTCTGAAATAGTAGAATTGTGTTGCTAAGTTATTAAACGATTTTGCTGGTTTTCTAATAATATTTACTGTTATATAGGAAAGTGATAATTTTACATTAGTCTATCACATAAAATTACCTTTTTACTTAAGTAATATCAAGGTAAATATATAACTCAAAATGGAACAACCGTGTTCTGATAAAGGTAATCCTTTAATAATATATGTGAGTAGTCTCTATGAGACTTTCTGTTAGTATCTTTAATTTTAGTGTATCGATTAATTATATTAAATTTTTTTATTGACTTGAACATAAGAAAGACTTGTTTGTTAATTGATTAATTACTAGTAAAATAATGTGTTAGAAGTATCAAAAGATTTTGAGTTCAATTACCATAACTATAAAATTTCTGTAATATTATTACATTGTGTAAGGGGAGAGAAATTTTTTCTTTTGAAAAATCAATAATATTAATAAAGTAATATATTGTGGTACTTTATTATTAAAACTAAATAATAAATAAATAATTTGAAAACGGACAAAAATTTAAGTAAACAATTTCTAATAATGTAAGAAATTGGGCTAATTTAAAACCATTTTACAAACCTCTTGGTCTAATAAATTAATAATAAAGTTTAAAGATAATACAATTTTTTTTTTTTATATATGAATTTTAACAAAGTTTGATATTTTTTTTACATTATTAATAATTTTTATGCTATTCTCATATTTTATATAATAATTTATCATAATATCATGTATAATATATTATATTTATTTAAATGAAAATTGTAACCAATAAAACATTTATATTTTTTCTAGAGTTACCTGGTGAAGATGAAGTAATTGAACTACAGCCATGTAAAATTTGTTTTCGTACATTCCGTCCAGAATTATTGTCACGTCATACTGTGATATGTGAAAAAAATTCTAAAAAGCAAAAAAAACCATTTGACTCTTCAAAGCAACGCAGAGAAGGTACTACTATGGCTTCTTATTTACCACCTGTAAATAAAAGCTATGAGCAAAATGAATCACAGCAAAAAATAAAAACTAATTGGAGACCAAAACACAAACAATCAATGAGTGCTGTAAAATCTATTAAAGATCAAAAAGATGGTGCTAAAGTATTCACTATTGGTGTAGATAATCAAATGTGCCCTTATTGTTCTCGGAACTTTGGACCAAGGTCTTATGACAGACATGTTAAGTTTTGTGAAGAAAAATCACAAAGAATATCCACTGCTCCTATTACTAGTAAGACTGCTAAAGAAAGACTAGAAGCAAGAATAAAAGTAAATTTAATTAAACTTATATTTTTAGATGTCTAATGAATTTGAAAATAATATTTTTTTTTGTAATAAGGTTATTTAATAAGTTTGGTTATCATTTTATATGACAGAAACTATGACTACTATGTGTATACCATTATTATACTTAATATGATTGCCTACTTAGGTCAGCCAGTAATGTATCAGGCCTTGCTACATAGGTACCGGTGTTCTGTTGTCCTGGTCTCTATAAGTTTTCCTGTGCTATTTACTATAAGTAATAGCTCTTAGAAAGGACATTGAACATAATAATTAATATAATATACTTGACCATTTAAATATTAAATTTAGGTAATTTTTTTAGTATCGTGCACCATCATTAAAATCACATCGCACTGCTACAAAAGAAAAGTACTCTCCAAAAACGAAAAAGCTTTCTTCAGATATTGAGAATATCCATGTTAAAGTAATACAGCCTTCTAAAATTGGTAAATTCTCAGACTTTCATCCTATTACTAAAACTAACTGTAAGTAAATTTTGATTAACCTGGAGAATATTTTATTACATAAACTTAATTATATTATGTGCAAAGAGATTAATTAGAGGATCCCTATTTATTAAAGATAAAAAAAATATTGAGTTATTGTAATAAAACCAATATTATAAATTGAATTTCTAAAATGTCAGTAATTTTGCTTACTATTAAATATTATCATATTTACTATTACTTGGGTTTCAAGTATCCTTGAGCCTTTTGGGTCAAAAATCTTATGAAATTTTATAAATTCAATTTTTTTCTATTTAAAAAAAATAACACAATTATATCTTAATTAAAATAAGTCCAAATAATTAAATATAATATTTTGTAATAATTTTTATCAATATTTCTGTATGAATATTATAAATATAATATTATTATTTTGTACATTTTTTATTTATTAGTTAAATTAATTTTCTTATGTCATTTAACTAGAAATATTTTAACATACAATCAACTTTTTTTCTGCTCTTTAGATAGGAACTGTAATTATTACAAAAGATTTTATAGAAGATTATTTGATGATATATTAAAAATTAATATGTTTTAACAATTTTTTATTAATTTTTTTTAACTTATATCCTATTATGATTAAAAAAAAGAAATTATAAAAGAATCATTAATAAATCAATTATAACAAACAATTTTTCATTCAATTCTACAATAAAATAAATGTTAATATTATTTTGTTATTATGTGACATTTTTAGCAAACATGTCAAATCCAAGTCTATTGATTGAAGAAAAAAAAAACAAAAATTTTAAAATCTTACAAAAAAAACCAAGTATTAATGGTAAAATTTTTAATGAAAATTCTGAATTGTCAAAAAATTTAGACTCACATACTTATGAGGATACGAACAGTTCAATTGATAGTTTCAAAATGTTGTCCAAATCGTAAGTAAAACTTAAAACTTTTATTAAACTATGAGTAATTTACAAATAATTATAGAGTTTTATTCTTCTAGTTATGCTTTTTTTTATAAGAGTGATTCTTTAATCATATAATAGTATTATACTATTAATATTAAATCATAAGTGCAAAGATTCATGCCAGAAACAACAAAACTTTGTACTGGCCCACAATCTTATTTAAACAGCCCTTTTAAAACTTATCTTTTAAACTATTGTTGGATATTTAATGTAATAAGTATAACAGCTCTTTCTTAAAACCTAAATAAATTGGTTTTCATTCTATTGAATAACAACCTACTGCAATCAGATCAATCAAAGGCATCAATACCATGATTTGTAGCCCCTGTATGCCACCTAAGTATTATATATTATTATATTTTTAAAGTAATCAATAGAGCTCTGATTATAGCAACAAAAATTAGTTGAAATTTTTTTTTAAATATTATTTATTTTATATCCTTATCTAGATTAATTTTAAATACATGACTATACTTAAATAAAATCAAAAGTTATTTATTAGATTTTTCAAAACATAGACTACTCTATATAATTTGAGCTCTTTAAATCATTAAAAGATTAAAATAGTACAAAATAAAGAAAATAAGTTCAACCATTATATTTACTGATATGTAATATTCAAGCTGTTTGAAAGTATTTTTTGTATTATAGTAAACCATTTCACAATTAATTGAATAGTTATCCAAAATTGAATTTTTTCTCTCTAATTATGCTAGTTGAATTATAATTTATTTTTTTTCGTATGGAAAAAATGTATTATTTTTTATATTTTCTTTTTATGATTACGTCAGGTTGGGTTGGTCAGGGTAATGAACCTTAATATTTGGCATCAATATTAAATTTTACCTCAGTTCAAATAAAAAATTAGAGTTTGTTGTATTTAAAAATATTTAAATATTAGTTTTAATTTAGTACAAACTAATAATCTTTGAGCTAACAAAAAATTAAGGATGTCATAATTATTTTTGTAGTTATGTATTATTATAAAATAGAGTCGTAAAAGTAAAGTCAATCAATGTAAAAAATAGAAGGATTAATTTTATTATCCTTTTAAAGGATTTATAATATGTATTTTAATGTTTAATATCTCTTAACTCTTGAATGTTTTAGTGAACCTTGTTTGGATAATTATGATCCTTATGAAACAGCTGAACAGCAAATGAGAGAGCTTGAACTTGATGTAGTTGATATAGGTCTTAAAAATCCTTTGATTATTAAATCAAATGATAATTTAGAAAATCTACAAATATCTCCTTCTTCGGCATTTGTCAAATACTCGCCTGTTAATTTATTAGCATCACCAAAATCTAATGAAAGCATAATTTTTGATCAGTACAATTCCAACACAAACCTTAATCGCCATCCTTTACATAGCCTTAGTAATTTAAGTTTATGCTCAATAGTAAGCCTCGAATCAGCTGATTTTAATAATAAATCTCATAGTGCTATTGAAAAAAGTTCAGACAATCTAAATAGCCTTTTTAAAAGAAATCTTTCTAATAACCCTAAAAATAACATAGGCATTGAAAATATGTTATATGGTGACATAAGTAATTGTAAACAACCAGCTGAATTAAAATTTGATATAGCAGAACAAGAGCTTTTAAAATCTGTATCAGAATTTGAAAACTTACTTAAACTAACTGATGATGATGATATAATATCGCCATCAATAAATAGAATCTCTGCTCTAAGTATAGTCAATGGGTCAAATTCTAACAGTAGCGCAGACTCAGCATATGGGAGGTAAGGCAAGCTAGTAGTCTTATCATTTCTCAAATAGCACATTTGCACAGTTTGATTCGATTAATATAACAAATCTACACACTGATTTATTTTTAAAACTACAATTTATCTAATGTAATAATTAACACATGATATGTAGTTTCATTAATAATTATTAACTATAATTAATAATTCTCATAAATACTACCATTTGTTTTTAATTTTGTAGAATAATATATTAATTTAAATAATTAGATAAAAAATAGGATAATACGTATTACTAAAATGTAAATATACCTTCTAACATAAGAAATATATAAACATTTGTAAGCAAACTAAAATACTAATTAATTAATAAAATATAGATGTTAATATACTTTCTGTAATTATAGGTCTTATATAAACTTTTAATGTAGCCTACTTAGGAAAAAATTCCCTAAGTTTTTCATTCAAATAAGAGAAAATGTGTTATAATTTTTTTGTTTTTTAAAGTCTATTGATTTTAATGAATGCGCTCACAGTTAATGTAATTATGACAATTACAATAAATAATAAAATGTACTCATAAATATATTTATTTTTTTTAATTAATAAATTTGATGAAGTGTAACTTAGGTCATTAGTTTTTATAAAGATATTCATTGTAATACTAACTTAAACGCCTAAAAATTATATAGTAAATTAATTTTCTTTACTAAATATTTATTTTATTTCAAACTTTATAAAAAATAAATGTTTATGCTTGCTGACTAATTTTTTAGTTTTCTGTTTTTTTTTTTTTATTTTAAAGGTTTACACTGAACAAAGATGAGATTACTCTGGTTTAAAATTATTACAATAAATTTTTTTGTTAATTTTTTTCAGTTTAAATAGGAAACCTGATGATCATAAGATATCTGAAAATAATTCAGTGTTGCCTAAATTATCAAAATTCTGTCATGAATGTGGCTTCAAATATCCAATTGTAGTAGCTAAATATTGTTCAGAATGTGGTGTACGACGTATTGTTTTATAAAGTAATAGCTTCTAATTTTAAAAAACAGAGTGTAATTTCACAAAAAATAAGTGTGAATACCTAATTAAAAAAGGTACACCACAATAGTTTATAACTCAATCATAATGTACTTTTTTTATCTATTATATTCTGTAAATTTACTAACATGATAAATGTTTTTATTAAACATTTAAATAAAAAAAATCATGTTATCATTTGACTTAGGGATTTTTGAAGAACCTAAGTAATAGATTTACTGAATGGCACCTATATTTTTCATGGTGAAAGACGGAACACTTTCTATTAGCTGCAATATTATACACCTGTTATTATATATTTTGTAATTCTGTTTCTTTCCAAACATGTTTATCATAAATAATTTTACTAAAATAACAAGTTATTTATTTATTTAATTTACCTTATAAGACTGATTTTTAACACAAATTATAGTAATATGGTATTAGTACTATGCCTTCTCAAAAATATTTTTAAAAATCAAATTTTTGATAAATTGTTGTAATGAGCGATCTAAATTTAATTTTTATACTTTGTAACATACTATTTTAATGCACACTTTAGTTTTTATATATTTGATATATTTTTAATTTTTAAAATATCATAATAAACTAGTGTCTTAATTATTAAATATCTAAAAGACCTTTATTGATAGTTTGATGAAGATTATGTAAAGGCGATAAGTCATAAATAGTTACTTTCCAGGAAATCAAAAAAACTATATAATTTATTAAAACATATGTTATATCTTATTTCATATATTAATTACTTGATAACCATTGGTTACATTGACATGATTTGTTATCAATGTTTCTGGTGTGAAATATCCTAAACAATTAATATATAAACTGAAAATTGACTTATTCCTTTTTAAAACTTTTCTGTGTACCAAATTATATTACTTTTAAATGGGCAAACTTGAGGCATTTAAATATCTATTATTTTTTAAGCCTTTTAAATTTACTAATATTGTTAAAGAATACAGATTATTTGTTAAGTCACAAAATCTATAAAATATTTTATTCCATTATTTGTTATTATGTTATATTTTAATATTTATTTTTCATTTTAATTACAATAAGTGTTATTGGTTTGAAAATTTTAACTTAATTTTAATTTTTGCTATTAATTAATACATGATGTCTGACAACTACATTTATTAAAAATTATATCATGAATACAAATAACTTTATGCATCCTCCAATCTAACATAGTTAATTTTTAACAATTTTTATATTTCTTACAATTTATATGTATGTTTGAAAAAAATAACCTAGTCAATTTTTAAAGTATATTGTTTTTAACAAAATTTGTAGATTAAAAGACTAAAATTTGAATTTTTTATTTTGTGTTGTTATTGTGTATAATTTTATTATTTAAATGCACAACTTAAATGTTTCAATGTGCTCAAATGTTTATTAAATTGTACTATGATTATTTGTGTTTGATAATATATTAATTTTACTTCTAAAATCGCTTTATCAATATTTTAATTTTTTATTTATCACTTTTATCTAGACAATTTGACTTAAATATAAACTAATAAAAATGTTTAACTAAAGAATTTTTTTCTCGCAAAATGATTATAGAAATTTTTATATTTTAAAAAATGATAAAAGTAATGTTGTTAAAACATCAATAATAATTAAGCGTTGATGTTAAAATGCAGTTCTGGAAATGAGTCACCTATATCTCTTTGATCACTATTTTTATAAGAATGGGCGACTTACATCAAATGAATGTCGATTTTATTTTTAATCGAATTTAAAAATTATGTAAAACATAATTTATGAAATTCAATAAATGTGATACTAATATACAAATCCTAATACGTTATCATTCATTCATTTGCATAGGTTAAACTGGCTAAAACACATTTTCGCGCCAGCAATCTTTGCTGATACCGGAAAGTATTTTTACCTCCAATTCAGAATTTGCACTTAATTTTTACTAGAGATGGGATTTTTGACTCACTGATATGAATCAGTTCACTCAAATGAGTTCACTGAGTCACCTCCAAATCCCAAATCGTCGAATCTTTAAAGGCGCGATTCTGACTTGTGAGTTGTTGAAGTTTGTGGAACGCGAATTACAACTCGCAAGGCATACTCGTAGAGTGCCTTCTAAATGCGCCTTAATAGTAATCTTAGCTAGATTAATATCAAATATGAAATATCAATGAACTATTGTTTTGCACAAATGTGAATAATAATTCATTTTACTCATTGTAAATTATTATTATTTATTAACTACTATTGAAAAATTAAATGTGATATTGCTATCAATAATTTTTTATTCATTATTTGTTTATATATATTAGAATTAAATTAAAGCGCGAAATAAATGAGAATTAAATTCAAATTGTATGTACATTATTGAAAAAGTAGTAGGTTATTACTAATTAGTAATTTTATGAGATGATGGGCTTCAAACCTTGATTTTTACCTATAAGATGGTTGAGCTAATTTAAGTTAAAACTTCTAATCATTCAATAATTTGATTCCTTTTTTCATCTGTTAAAATTTTAGATCCTCAATATATACCCGCAATAATTAAACAAAAAGTAATTTATATGGTTATTTGATATTAATAAAATATTTTTCTATTAAATTGTTTAATATTTTTACTAATTATATTAGAATTTGTTAACTATTATTGAAATAAAGAGTAAATTTAAAATCTAAAAAAAACATTTTTTTATTATTAACATCAACACAGATTCATTTATGTGTTAAATTAGGTATACAAATACAATGTAGGTATTATCAATGTTTAATGTTTAGTACATGCAATGAGAAAAATAGATCTCTTCTCTCATATATTCTAAAATTTTCTTGCATGCAATTACAGGTCTATACTTGAATGAATATTGTTCTAAAAACTGACATATTATGTATAATCTAGTCTCACTTATTAAAAATTTTTATTATTGTGTCAACGCTGTTTCCTGTGATCACAGTAAATCTTGTGCACGGAATCGATTATTGTGAAACACTTTATTTAATTTACAGAGGTATTTTATTTCATTTTAAAATGAGTAAATGGGTTGCGGGGTGTTCACGTTTTGAATATAGTAATGCAGCAGCACTAATATCATAAAACATGTTTTCTATTTCAACGGTCACCGGCGAAACGATACTATCGAACTGTTCGACGCGATAGAGTTCTATTAACGCGCTTACAATAGCCTCTTGATGTTCGCGAAACTGTTTTTCAAAAAACGCTTAATTGACGAACGCGTACTTCAAGCTGTCCTTTAAGGTTAACGTCTGACTTAACCTTAATGACGAAATTATGAATTTCAGTAATTGACTTAAGGGAACTATCCCATAAAGTATGTACTCCAATGATAGTCTTTTCTTCCAGGTTTACTTTAAAATGCCTCTAATACATTATATTCTAATGATTAAGACAATTAAATATCCATGCTCGAAGGACCAACGAATGAACGCAGCGCCCGGTAGTATTCACGTGGGTTCCGTTAACGATCGTTGTTTTATTTTGTCTTAAGTCTGACTATGTCGAGTAAAAGGAATAGGGTGAGTGGACTGTATGAATAAATGTAGAATGAATTTACAATATATAATTATTAAATGTATAATACTTTAATCATAAAATCTTATATACACCAATGTGGATATGTAGGGCACTTAATACTAATGCCACAATGGCGATGATATGAACAAATAATAAATTATAAATGTGAGTAAGTCTTAAAAAGAAGATGAACAAGCATTATACTTATCGTCTAGTTGAAACGGTAGATGATAATGTTGTATATTGAGGGGATCAATTGAAATCAAATGCAAGTAGTTGACCAACGTGTACAATATGTTGTGAACAGTATTTTGATGTATATCAGAAAATATATAGACCCAACGGCGATATACTGAGCGCACAATGGTGCGACGATCGCAAAGGTGATATTTTATTTTTACAACAAAACGAATAGAAAAACTACTGGCTCGCAAGCGTCATTGAGCTTATAGTTGAAAATACGCCAAGATGGCGGCGACAACGCAGAGATAGAGAGAAGACCGACATCAACCGGTGTAGCAAAACAATATTATTAATAATCATAACACAATTTCTCGACAACATATCGATGTGTATCCAACAATAACATTATAAAATTCTAGCGTTCAGAAACTAATTTAATACATTTATTTTTATTTTAAGTTTTGTTAGTATCTATCAATCCTTCTTTAAAACGATTTCACACTAAAAGCTACTTTATTTAAATACTTTACTAATGCTATTAAATAATATGTAAATTTTATTGTTGTAAAATTTTTAATAATAAACCTTGTTACTTAATATTTGTTAGTTGATGATATTAAAAAAAAGATAATGAATTGTATACACCTCTAAAAGAAATACTGGTGAAATCTATAAAGTATGTGAACAAACAGTTTGAGTTAAATCAATGTAATCAGAAAAATGTCTAGTATATTAGACTCGTGTGTTTGACTATAACAATGTATTGGGTTTTTCTCGTGTAGTAAGAGGGTTAAAAAATTGTCGAATTCTACGAATTAAGAATATTCAGCTGTGTTAAATTATGATTTATCCGAGTGCATTATAAGTACTATTGTATTTCTATTATTCATAAAAAAAGTAACAATAATATCCAGTACTGGACGTGAAAAGTGAACATAACATTTAGAGTAACCTGGGCTAAAAATAGCTTTTATTTTCTATTGCATATAACTTGAAGTATAATGTATTTATAAACATTTTGAATTTTTTATTGGCTAGACAAACTAACAAAAAATACAAATTTTAATATAAATATCGATATAAAAAATCGATATATCGATGTATCGATAAGTTCGATATACGTTGCCATCGCTACAGCTGCGTGATAACATAAATATTTGTAAGAATCTGAATGCGATTGTAAATTTAATAAATTCAAACAACGTGGTGCTGTTATTAACCATTTTTTTTATAAAAGTTATTATATTAATTAAAATGGCTAGAAGAATTGCTCAGTCGTCTGTTAATTGGATTGCTATTAGTGAACGTGTTCCTGAAGCTGAAAAAGCTGCTTATTTAGCTTTTAAAGCTAAATCTGATGGGTACCTCCGAAAGTATGTAAATATCATTTTTGACCGAATTAAATGTTTATCGCTAAATATTTCTTAAATTAAAATTTTATAGATTAATATAATGTGATAAACGAGTAAAAAAAAATTATATAAATTTATATTACTAACATATATTTAAAATATTGAATGAAATAATTTGCAGAATGTTTGCATTATCCCCAGAAGCACCTAAAATTGATTGGGCCATATACAAGAATGCTATTCCTATCGCTGGTTTAGTTGAACATTTTGAAAAGCAATACAACGCCGTTAAAATTCCATATCCCGATGACAAATATTCAGCATTTATTGATAGCTCTGAAAAAAAAACTGTACATATTCTCTTTGTTTATTCATATATATATATTTATTACTCTTTAGAAAATTGTCTTTAAAAATATTGCGTTCAGATTTAAATTTTGTAATGTGAATAAAGTAAAGTGTTGTATGAACTTGGAAAAATAATCAAATTTTACTTTTTAACTAAGCCTTATTTTCGATGAATGTACCGTTATTACCATACTCCACATAAATGTTAGGATTGATTTTTTTTTATTGTTGAATTCTTAATGTTTTATCGCCAAAAACTAGGAATAGAAAAATTAGGAAATATTGCTCTATATTTCCTATTTGTATGAAAACTCCAAAGTAAGATTATTTTTCTATTATTACTCAGCAAATCGATAAAGAAAAATACACTAGATCATTTTGTGCCAGTTAATTGAGAGAAATATAAAAAAAAAACCTTAATAAGAATTGTTTTTTTTTTTTTTTCAATAGCCCTATAAAAGTAAAAATAATAAAATTTAAAGGTATTAATTTTGTGCTTTTAAATTTTACTATTTATTCATATAATGTCATTGTCTAATTATTCTCTTATGATAATTACAGATGCAGGAAATAGAAGAATTTAAAAAGGTAGCTGCCTCTAATATTAAAAAAGCAGAATTAAGGATCGAGGAAATTGAGAATTTGTTGCCATATTCCCAAATGACTTATGAAGATGCTGCTTATATTGAACCTGATTTGACATTAGATCTTGAAAACAAGCCATCATTCTGGCCTCATCAAGAAATTGATTATGTATTTGACGAGCCGCAAGAAGAAGGGTCAGAAAAACAAAAAAAAAGTTGAAGCTGCCCATTAAGTTTTTCATTTTGTTAGTTACATTATAATTTTACTGAATTTTCAAAAAATATATTGGAATAAATATTTATATAAAAGGAAAATATTATTATTATTATAAATTGTTTAATTTCAAATAAATTTTAGTCAATTTTACTAAGATTTGATTACAGATAAAAAATTTAGTGTAAAATTATATTCATAACTGTTCGAGATTATGTAATCTTTTGAGGGCAAAATTACGAGATTCACCGAGCACGTGGTTAAGCGAAGACGCGCTCATGTCAGCGGTATTTTTATTACAATCGTGATAATCTCATCTTTGAACAATTGCGTTACAAAAAACAACCGATACATTACGTGTGGTAGTATGTGTAAACCAATGATCACAGAATTCATCCTCTTTTGTAGGAAATAGCGGTGCTGACGGTTCTTCTATTGTTCAAAATTGACGCATCAAACTGCCAACAGGTGGGTTAAGGGCAAAGGCGTAAAGCATTTGAGTAAATGTATTTGAATAAAAGTATTCAAATACTTTCATTGGTATTGAATAGTATTTTTAAGTACATTTAATAAAAAGTATCTGAGTAGTATTTTAAATACAATTATTTAGTATTTAATACTGTTTAATATTCAGTACTATTAGTATACTTTTTTTTTCTAATTTGCTAACCGTAACACAGCAAGCAAATTAAACTCTGTCAAAATGAAAATTAAGAATAATTCTCTGTTATTTTATATGTTACATTATAGTATAACATAATTATTGTGCTTATCTAAATGCTATTATGTATACATATATTTTTAATACATCAGTTGAACCTACAATAGCCTATTGCAGGTTCAAATGATTTACTCTATTGTCAATAAGACATACTTTACAGGTTTTTACACGTGTACTAATATTTATTTTTTTCACTGATTAGTCTCCAATAATTAATTTTATTTACCTCTAACAAAAAATATCGAAAATAATAAATGAGTTCTCTTAATTTAAGAGTACTCAATATTTGACTCAAATTACCTTCTTGGTAATTATTTAGGTGGAACCTTTTGCTCTTAGTTAAAATAAAAACATTATTATTATTTTTTAATTGTATTCTTAGTATTTGAAATACTTTTGTAAAGTAATTGAGTATTACTCAAATACTTTTGTATGAAAAGTATTCAAATAGTATTTTAAATACATTTTTTTTTAAATATTTGAGTATTATTTAAAATACTTTTTAAAAGTATTTTTTACAACTATGCTTAAGGGTCGCAGTAAGTGACTTTAATAGCTGGGCGAGGTGTCAGTGAGCGAGACTGTACTTACTGATATCCGTCCTACATAGGTGTCAAGCCTGGAAGGTAAACCTTTCATGTGTATGATCTCCTCCTTTGGACGTACAGTATGTGGAAAGACATCTCCGCCCAACAACATATCAATCGTACCGGGCGTTTTGAAGTGGATATCGGCGAACAACAAGTCGTGATATTGCTCACGTATTTTCGGTGGTAAACGCGCAGTCGTTAAACAAATGGGTGTATTTATATATTCGTTTATGTGCCTTATTTCTTAGTAATCTTTCACAAATTTTATACTGATATGAAATATGAAATTGTACATTGTGAACTCTTATATCTGGCTTCATTATGCATTATAAAGTTACACTGAAATTTATAATTTTTTACTATTGTGTTGTAATCAGTATACTTTAATATTTAAACTTTACAACACTTTGTGTATTTTGTGAAATACGTGTTACTTATAGTACAAAGTCACTAATATTTTAGTAAGTTTTACATAGTGTTTACTTCCGGAGATTGAAAATCCTCATTTCCCTAAGAGGTTGCTCAAGTCAGGTATTCAAGAGCCAAAAAAAAAATGTATATATCAAAATCACAAAAAAAAAAAAACAATTGAAAATAATTAAAAATTTGTTTAATTATTTTTCTTCATTCTCATTCGTCCCCATACCAACTATTTTCAAGGCAAATCGGCTCTCACTAAAAACTAACAGACTACTGTAAATTAAAGGTGATTGAGTCGTGGATAGCTGTATAAAGAGATATAAAACATCTTTTAATCTCTATTCTCCGACGAAAAGAAACGATTTACAATCGGCTAAAATTTAAATAATTAATTCCCCATTAATTTCTATTATATCCAATGTTTCAACTTAACTAAGTAACAACTACCTACATATTATTATTATATATTTCATGTAACACAAAAAACTATGTACAGTAATCTATATTTTTATGCCAAAAAAAAATTATATTGGATAAAGTTGGAAAAATATATAATTTGAGTGAGAACATTTTTAATGAATTTCGATCAGTATGAGTAATTTCTAATGAGACATTAGAAATTGTAACAGTTATAAATGTAAGCGGTCTCTGCATCAAATTTCCAAATTTAAAAAATTAAGACCATCCTAATATTTTGAATATCATGATAATAATTTCTGCAATTTTTTTGTTTAATATTTTACGTGAAAAAACATAGTTTTACAAATACTCAAATTTTAAATAAAATATTGATGGTAGAAAAAAATCAGGGTCATAATCGGAATCAACTTATAAAAACCTATTAAAAACCAAAAAAAATTCATAAATATTCCATGACCCAAATAATTAAATACAAATTTTAATATTAATTTTAAATATGATAACACATTCGAAATAAAAAAATAATAAAGATCTATACTATACTGTATAAAACCAATATATGTAATATACAGCACAGTTATGTAATAATATTATCAAATTTATTTAATGGGAATTATAATAAAGTAATAAATTTAAATCAATTCAAATAAAAAAGTAAATATAAACTTTATTACTGTAATTACTGCATTACTGTAATAAATATCTATTATTATATAAGGTCTTGCTTAGATCATAGTGATTACACAAAATTGAATAAAGGTTTTGGTAAATGTTTTTCATTTTTTCCTAAATCCTCTTTACTTACAACGGAATTTTTTTATTGAAAATATAAACACTCCCTTCTTGCGAAGTCTCGATTATTAAAATCAACACTTTTAACCCCCATTTCAATGCCTACTAGGAGATCTTCCATTTATAAATAGAAAGTTGAAAATTGAATATATGTTACGTAGGACAAACTAAAAAAAATGTAGGGGTCAGGTTTAAAAACACTTAAAAATTATTAAAAATCAAAAAGTTGATAAATATCTCGTGGCTGAAATTCATTGTACATAATAACTCCATTAAAACCATTAAATGAATTAAAAACAAATTATTTGTTAAAAAAATTTATTTTAATTTATGAATTATCATTTAAGCTTTGAACCATAAAATTATTGGTTATCTTGTTTGCTTCAGAATTAATAATAATTCCTAAATGACTATGTCGGGCTTCTTTAATAAATCTTGTTTTTTTTACGTTGGGTAGTTGATTAACTAACCATTTAATATCCTGAAAAAAAAAACAAAAAGATATTTCATATATATTTTATTAGTGAATTTTTATAAAAAGTTGTTCACATTGTTATTTTAAACTTTTTTGTTTATTTGAATTTTGTAGTTAAAATTCACTCGAATCGAAAATTATTTAAAATTTATATATTATTATAAATTTAAAATTCTATCAATATATGCCATACTTTTAACAAAAATATTATATAAAACTCATACTATTTCATTAGGGATTTGTGAGTGTAAGAGCACCGAATTAAAAAAATTCGCTTCAATGTTTTCATCTTCGATGAGAGGGATACATTCTAAATTCAGTAGTTAATTTACAAGAGGGGATACAGGGGGCTAGATCCCTAGACACCGATTTTTTTACATTGTTTAATATGTAGGGTAAGACTAATACGTATTCCAAGAAAATTTTATTCTTTAGGATCACCCCAGAAAAATATTATAAATCTTCCAATTTCTCAAATATTACTTTGTTTTTAGCATTTATATTATTCTTAAATTGTATGATATGCAATTGCCTTAACTCCAAAAATTTGATTATTATATTTTCCTATATGTAATAATTTTGTGCATCATTTAAAACAATATTACTCACTCCCGGAACGTGGAGGTAGTGACGAAAAATGACGATATGGAAATCATCCCTCGTAATCGGAATGAATACTTTATATCTCTTAATTAGAATAAATCGTATTAATATATAATTTTAATAGTAATTAGAATATATATATACAAATAATGCGACTTAAGTACGTAAATGTATCATGCACTAGGTATAGCTGTGTTTTGTGGGCAGGCAAGTCGGACAAACGTTATACCTGAGGTATAAACGGCGCACATAGGTCAATTTTCACAATCTACGCGGTCAAAATTGGATTTTCCAAAGATCCGGAAATCGTTAAAAACCAATTATCGGTGATTAGTAAACATTTCAGGGAATCCCAAATTACCCATTATAACTACCCCACGTCAACCCCGAACGTGCAGAGATAGTTGGAACTTGACCATCAACCAGTGCGCTATTCTTCGGGATTACAGTGTTACAAGCAACCACAAGTTTGAACATAAATATTTCTTTTCCAGTGTCAGTGTTTGAAGTGTGTGATGAATTTCGATAACCAAGGTATTATCTTTATTTTTAATATATTTTAGTTAGCTTTAATGCAAAATTCATATAATTACATAGTGTATAACAAAGAGTGTTTTCTGTGTTAAATTTTGAAGTAATTTTAAGCTTTAAAATTGAAAAAGTTGTAGTTCTCCGTTAAACTCCGTGTTCATTTTTATTTTATTTTAAAGCTCCATCCTTTCTTCACTGAATGTTACAAAAATTAGCTGCCGAAATTTGCAGATAGCAAAAATAAGGTCATTCTTAGCGACATAGTTTTTTTCCAAAAAATTTTATTTCTATTATTATTTGACTAATCATTGTCTTTCGTTATGTTAGGAACTGCCAGCACATCAGGTGTGAAAACTGTTTCCCTCATGAGATACCTCTATGAAATAATGAGAGACCAAAATTTACTAAATTTTGACGCAAAACTCGATTATCTGGAAAATCATTTACTATCAAACTATGGCACCACTGATGGTGATTTAAAAACAATTTAACACAGATTTTCTATATTTAAAGAAAAATTAAAGGAAAGGTGGGCGAAATCTCACAGAATGGATGACAATTTTTTGAAATGTAATGAGTCTTGGCTAGGGGGAACTTTCGAACTTCCGTTAAAATTGTTGAATCGAACGGGACGCCCTACGAAAACTTTTGATACTGCAAGTGAACAAACCAAGCGTCGAAAAACTGAAGAAATTAGGTTAAATGTCGAAGATGACATAATTGTCCACGCTGCACAAACAACCTTAAGAGCACAAGGAAAAAGAGATGCGTCACATATTCTTAAAGAAATAACGAATCATCCTGATCGAGCTCACGAATATAAAAAAGCAATCGAATAAAAAGAAAATAAAGATTGTGTTACGCCTTTGACACCATTACAAGCTCTGACAATGTTCGTTGAGGCCGATCTTACAAGACGTCAATACGAAATTATCCGAAATAAAAATAAGGCATTTTATCCTCCATATTACCTTTTATTAAAAGCAAAACAAGAATGCTTTCCACCAAAGGAATGTTTGAGAGTTACGAGCACCTGTGCGGAAAGCAGCTTACAGAGCCTTATTGACAATACCATTAAGGGGTTATCAATTTTCTTGGAAGAAGTGCTATTAACGCTTAACGAAGAAGAGAGAAATTCCTTGAATATAATTTGTAAATGGGGTTGCGATGGCTCTCAGCAAGCTAAATACAAGCAAAAATTCGATGGTGATATGGAATCAGATGCTAATTTATTTTTGAGCTCATTTGTGCCACTTCAAGTAATGTGTGGAAACAATAATAAAGTAATATGGTAAGATCCTACGCCCTCGTCCCCACGATTTTGCCGTCCAATAAGATTCAGATTTTTAAAAGAATCAACTGATGTCACAATGGAAGAAATAAATTACGTCGAAGACTCCGTGAAAGGACTAAAAGCAACAGAAATAAATATGAACGAAATCAAATTCACTTTTAAACATTCTTTTAACTTGACTATGGTGAACGGGAAAATATGTAATCCTGCAACCGGAACCAAGTCTGCAAGTAGGTACTATATCTGTGGTGCAACATCGAAAGACTTTAACAAAATTGACAAGAAGGAGACATCAAGTTCAACTGGATTTAATTTTGGGCTCTCTGTATTGCACGCCAGAATTAGACTGTTTGAAAGTGTTTTACATTTGGCATATAAATTACCAGTTAAAAAATATAGAGAGAGGAGGACTGACGAAGAGAAAGAACTGGAAGCAGAAACGAAAAAGCACATCCAAGAAAGGTTTCGGATTGAAACTGGATTACTGGTGGACATGCCCAAAATAAATTTTGGAAATACCAATGATGGTAACACCAGTAGAAGATTTTTTGAAAATCCCCAATTGGCTGCAGACATAACCGGTATAAACTTCGAATTAATTTACAGATTAAAAGTTATATTAGAAACTATTTCGAGTGGCCATAGAATCGACACTCAAATATACGGCGAATACGCCGAAGAAACCGCAAAATTGTATATAGACTTATATGGATGGCACCCTATGACTCCAACTATGCATAGAATTTTAATACATGGAGCAACTATAATTGAAAAGGCTCTGCTACCAATAGGTCAATTGTCGGAAGAGGCTGCAGAGGCACGTAATAAGCATTTCTGCATATATCGCCAGAATTTCGCTAGGAAGTTTTCTAGAGAACACTGTAATCGGGACGTTTATAACAGATTACTATTGAGTTCAGATCCACTAATAAGCAGTCTAAGATCCAAGAAGACATCTATATCAAAAAATTTTTGTCCCGAAACAATTGAAATGTTATTGCCTGCAGATCCTTACTGCGAACCTGATAGAGATGACGACCAAGATGACTCCATACTTGAATAAATATAGAATTACTGTACATAATATTATTATATTTTTTGTTTTATTTTGCATGCAAATTGTATTACATAACGTAAACTAAAATGAATCCTAAATTTTTGTTATGGATATCACTGTTTTTTATTTATGACATCCGAGGACAATTTTTCTTTACTCCAATTTTTTTTTTACTTATATTTCACCAAAAAAAATTATGTCTGAACAAAAATATGTCTTTAATCAGACGTATAATACCGCATAGAAACAGTAAATACCGATTAGAAATGATAAAATTGAAAAAATATTTTTGACCGCGTAGATCGTGAAAATTGACTTTTGTGCGGCGGTAGGAATATATACGTAAGCCGTATGACACGCGGATGGTATTGGTCAGTCAAAATAAAAATTTGTTTATATATATATAATATTGATGACAAGCACCTGTGTATGAGTACGATAACTAAAAATAAATTTTTATAGGAATAGTGTGCCGTCGTGTGGTGAGCAAGGCGCGGGGTGGGGTGAATGCATTATGACACTCTAGTCTTAAGACCATATACATACATACAGGTGAAACTAATATAAGCGTGTTAAAAATAGAATAATTTGTTTCGAATTTTATCAACACGTTAAAACAACGAATTTTGATTTATGACTCTCTTGCATTCATAGTGATACATTACTGCAACTCAATATCACGTATCATTAAATTTTTGTTTTACAAAATAATATACTTTTTATGGCAGCAACAATGTATCAATTTTTAAATAATTTAACAGTACATTAAATAAATTTAAATTACTTCTGGTGTGGCGGTAGAATCTATTTTTGAATGTAAAATGTAGGAAGGCACAATTATTTTAGTTAAGTCGTAATCAGGAGGTACAGTTGAATTGTAATATTTAATATTTTGAATTGGTCCATAATCATATTTACAAAAATGATCTGTAAAATTACAATAAAATGTATCTTAACTTTGATTATTACTCTGATAATAAAATTATTTTTCAATAAGAAAATTTACTTTTTGTTTGATGCTAAGACGTAATTAGGACTTTTTTATGAAGGGACATAAATAGAAAAATGTTTCACTTTCTCCAATCTCCCCTTACCAACATTTTTATTTCATAATTATGACTTTACTAGGTAAAATAAATTCTGTTGATTTTTTTAGGACAAGCTTTCTTTTTTGTTTCAATAACATTATACTACTAACCTCCGATAAACAATTGAGGTATTATTATTTTTCGTCTTTATCAGTGAAGTTATTTTCATATATAATTATTATTTTTTAAATTTTTATTTGGAAATTGTTTTAACACAAATTAAGTTTTAATTATATGTATTTGATATTGAAATCCCAAACTAACACTATCAAATTGATGATAAAATTTTGAAAAATGAATCTTACCTGATCTAATATGTTGATAAACATGAAATAAAACTTTGACGGCTGTTGGCTGTGGATACACTTTAAGGAGTTCTAATGCTTTCTAATATCAATAAAAATTAGTTTTAATAAAAAATAATAAATTACAATTTTTTTATAATATAATTGAGAAATAAAATTAGTTTATTTTGTTGCAATGTTTAATAAATATTTTTACCTATCAAAAGTGGATTGAATTCACCGAAATTTGATTTTATAAAAATCAATATACAGTTATATTACACTGTGGTATACATTAGTGAATTTTTAGAAATTAAATTTATATCTTTATTGTTTTAGTGCAATATAGTAAATTCTAATTATTCATTAAAATATGTTACCATTTTATATATATTATATGTTTTGTGTTATACGTAAGGTTAAACTTTTACAAAATTGTTTTTTTTTCAAGGAACTCGATATTGGAGTAATTCGACATTTAAGTAATTATCAATAAAAAAAATCATATTACCTTATTTCTTTGTATATACAAAATATTTATTATTTCTAGATTTCACACTTTTATTAACATTTCATTTTTATACTATTGTTTTAATATCGTTTGAATTAATTTTACAATTACCTACCAGTACTCACAATAACCCCACTTAGATTAATCCAATTGAATACTAAGTATGTATATTTTTAATGAAAAAAATTAAAAAATAGTTCGAAATGTACTTACTCTATTGTATGGTAAACTTATTCCTTGTACTGAATTAACAACATTTCTACAGTAATATTTCCAAAACAAATTATTTTTCATACAATTGTAACCAAATATCTGATTATCATAATCTGGGAGTTTAGGTATATATTTCTCTCCTTTTATTCTTAACTAAATAATATTTTAAAATATAAGATTATAGTGTTATGATTATAGACGCAAAAAGGAGGTACTTAGAATACTTCGCACCTCCTGGCATGAAATTAGCAATTTCAAGCAGATTTCACTATTTTTTTTAAATTTTGTGATGAAAAATAAAATAATTCCTTACATTGTTGTGAAAAAATTACTGCAGTAACATATTTAATACTGTGAATATAAACGGTATAGAATATATATACAATTATAAACTTAGTAATAGTAATTTTAATACCAGTAACTCATGAGAATATTTGACAGGTAACATTATTATTCAGATTATTTTAAAGAACAATGTTGGTGGTCACTTAAAGATCGTTTGTGGGACGTTCGATACCTTTTCGAGCTATTTAGACATAAGGTTGGGTTTAAGGGGCGATCTATGGTGTGCGATCATATTAAGACGATATACCATAAGAGTACACACAGAGTGTACTAAGTATGTTTTAGCACTCTCAGACAATATAGTGAGGTTTTTTTTACCAGTTATCCTATAAATTTATGACAAATTTTTATAAAATCTTATATGTTTCATATTTTGAATTCAGAAATTGAATATTAAAATGAGCAGATTAGTATATACTTTTTTAACAATATATTAATAAGTACAGTGCTAATGCAAGTAAATGATTTTCACTAAAAATATTATTATAAAACTATGTGTATCATTTCTAAGAAGTGAAAGGAAAATTAGTCATCTACTTTAGATCTACATTGATGAACCGAAAAATAAAAGTATCACTTACAAGGTTCCTTTTATTTTAACGCATCCCAAAACCAAAATTTTTCATTCGCCTATGTCGCAAACATATGTTGTCATAAGTAATTTATAAAAAATAATTTCTGATACTAAATTTTATTACATACTTGATACAAACTAATATATGTCTAAAATATTTTGTTTGTAAACTTGTACACCTTTTCAACGTTACTTCTTTCTTATTTTTTTTTTCACAGTTTTACATAATTTATTCAAAATAGTTTTGAGTATTAAAACAGTTTTAAGTAAAGTGTGTTTTTGAATACCAGGTTAACGTTTCTTTTAAACTTACAATTGTCGATTAATAAGCTACGTTTTCAAATACGCCGCTTAAAAGTATGTATAAACAAATCTCTCGACATATTTAGAACTCCATTTAGACAATTTGCAGCTCTTTGAAATGGACCAAAAATTTAAGACCAGAATCGAATGTAACACCCACCCTCTCATCAAATGTAATGTTAAGTATATTTATAATTGATTTATTTAGATAAATTAATTAAAAAGTAAGTTATTAACCTTAATTAAGAAGTACATCCTCCAAGCTGGTGCATGGTAAGTTTTCATTCTGGTTGTTGGCACAATCATCACTATTTTATTTACTTTATTTTGGTATTCTGGCAACTCTGATAATGCAATTAAAATAATAGTATTTCCTAGAGAGAATCCTGTCAAGTCTAATTTTTCATATCCCGTTATATTCAATACATAATCAATTGAAGCAGTCAAATCATAAATGGCCAACTCCTCCATACTTGAAATAATTCATTGTTATAAGTATAATTATTAAGTTTATAAAGAATGAGTCGATGTCAAATTTTATATGTATTGCACTACAACAAAAATTAAGGGAAAAACCAAATTTTTATGAATTTATTTGCTCAATATTCATTATTTAAATCTTTGTTGCAAAAATACCAAATAAATTTAATTGTTCAAAATCATTATATTCTTGGGAAATATAATCAATAGGCTTATTATAATAATTCAAGGTACAGTGATGTGTAATGAAAAAATAGGATAAGTATGAAAAAGATACTGAGGGATATAAAAATGGAATATTTAATATTTAGATTATTTGAATTATCCAACTATAAAAGCAAATACAAACATGTTATGTTAAAATATTATGAAACATTTAATATTATTTTTATGATTTATCTTAATTATTTTTAATTTTGTGCTCGAGGAATTAACAAATTAAAATCACATTAAAATATTAGTTAATAAAACATGAATAATTTCATTGAAATATAGACTTGGGATAAGAAGCAAGTTTATGAATCATTAAGCATTTCGCAACTATCTTCAGTCGAACAGTTATAAAAATATTTATATCTTCTGAAACAATGAAACAACAGATAGTAAATGACGAATATTTTTCATTGAATTAATTCAAGTTTAATCGTATCAATTAAGTTCATATTTCTAATTAATATTATATTTTGGCATAACTCATAAAAACCATAAGACCGATTCAAATGAAATTTAATTAAAATACAATAGATATTTAAAATTATGTACGTATCATTCACCTAGTTTCCTCTGTCTTTTTTTTTGCAAATGCATTTGTAAGTTACTTGCTAAAATTAGAAATTCGTCGTTTATTTTTTTATATAAAAAATCAATTATTTATTTAATATTTATAATTATTTACAATAATTATAAATCATTATATACCTAAAGTCCCATGAAACATTTTGCAATGGAGGAATTATTCCAGATTTTGGATCTTTGATTAATTTCGATATACCAGATAATCTAAAATTCATTAACCATACATCATAGCCTGCATCTGACAAAGCATACGCTGTAAAAAAATATATATTTACTTATATATTTGTTTTTAACTTTTAAATTTTCTATCATTACTGTAGTGGGATTGAAAAGAGAGAGAGAGCTTTGTTGGTTATGTTTTGGGCATAAAGTAATTTTTAGTAGTGGTTTACCTAAAATAATAATATAGTAAGATAGTATTTGATGGCAGTGATCTGGTATTTTAGTAGAATACTAAATTATTTTAATGCCATTAAATTTACAGTTATCACTGAGTATCAGATCAGAATGTTTAAGTTGTTTAACAGTAATATGTAACTAATTATACCATAACCAAAACTACGTAATCAAAGACCAAAACGGCAGGTAAGAATTTTTGCACGTTATTCTGATTTTGTTCCCTCCTAAAATTATGTTATTTAAATTAAAATTAAGTTATGATCTTAACAATCTGCCATTTTTTTTATTTTTATATGTAGCTTTGTTACACTTCATGTTTCTATTTAAAAAAGTTTAAGTTGGTAAAGTTTTAAGAAAGATGAAGAGGGTATTTTTGTTGACAATTATGGAGCGTAGTATACTATTAACTTCTGTGAAGAAAAAATTATATTAGGTATTATATTTTTAAATATATTGCATGAGACATTGTTAAACAATAACTTTGTATTAACTAACCATGTAAAAAATATTGTTTGTATTACATAATTACCTTGAGATGTGTTAACTGCAGCAAAAAGCATAGATGTCCCGTATAAACCATGAACCATTAAAACGGGTTTACCGATTTTTGATGTCTTATTTACATTTCTACTATGAGGAATTCTTTCAAGTCCCAACATATACCCATCTTTACTTTGAGTTTCATATATTTCTAAAGGATATCCAAATTCTAATATTTTGTCTGACTATATTAATATGAAATATAATTATTAAAATAGTATGTTCATAATATGTAAAATAATAATTCAATCATAGATAAGGTTTAATGTTAATTTATTTACAGTGGCGAGAAAAAATAACTGAAAGTAATTTAGATTAAATATAGATGCAATGGTGCAATTACGGGATGTGCTTTTTTCAATTATCAAATTTTAATTCATTTTTGTTCAAATTTATTTATATATTAAAGAAATTTTGTTATGGTTAGGTTATATATATATATATATATATATATATGTATATATTATTTAAAATAAATACTTTTTGGTCAATAGTTTTAGCTTTTAGAATAAAATCGGATATTATTATTCATGCGTAGTGATTTAAAATTTACAATTTATAATTGTTAAAATATTTTACTAAAACTTTACACGAAATATTTCATGTACAAATAAAATATGAATACTATAAAATTTTAAATTTAAACTTAAATATTTGTACCAAAAATCACTCTTAATATCTACTGATATAAAAAATATTAAAATTTATATATATATATTTACTTCAAATTTTTAATTTCACCACCCAGGCGTGGTGAAGATGACAAATTTAACTTTTTGATAAATTAATCTATAACTCTTAAATAAAAAATATTAACTAATGCGCTTTTTATCAATGGGTCTCAATTAAGTAGTATTTTTTTACAAAATTTCAAGTTTTTATAGTGATTATTTCTTTAAGAGATTCAATTGAAGCTTAAGGGTGTTAACTTGCAACACCACTTCTAATTGTAACCTTTATACTACAGAATTTTAAATAACTTTAAAATATCAATATTTAATGATTCTTCTTCTTCTTACTCTAATACTTAATACTCTTTAAGAGTTTTGACTATCATCACAATATCCCTCCATTTCTCTTGATCTTAAACTAATTCTCTTAATTTCTGTACTCATAACTATTCAATGTATTCTTTCACAATATTCATTCACATTTCTGAGTTTTTCTTGAGGTTTTTTTCCCATTTTTTCTAGTTTAAGACTACTCTACTTATATTGTCTTAGTTTTTCCCCATTACGTGTCCTAGTCATTGAATCCTTTGCTTTTTATGAAGCTGGTGACTGATGCGATTCCCAATTCAGATCTATTTTTTATTAAATTTTCTCCTCCAAGATACATTTTTGCTATCATAAGTTGGTTCTCATATTATCTTCCGAATTCAGTTTTCAAAAATCATAAGTCTTCTTTCAGTTATACTGGTGGTATTCCATGCTTCACAATCATAGGTGAGCGTAAGCCTTATTATTGCCGTATACAATCTAGCTTTAGTTTTTTTTTTTTTTAGAACAATTTTGATTTTAAAAACTTACTTAAGGCAAATACCGTTCTTTTATCCTTTATTATCCTTACTCCTATTTACTTCAACTAATCATTTTGAATACCCAATACAGTTCCTAAGTACCAAAATTAATTGATTTTTTCGAAAGTTAGGGAAATTTTTGTTTACTAGCAACTCCATTATTTTAGTCTTTTTGGTATTGATTTTCATCCCTATCTTGCTGAGTGTTTGCTCAAGATCTCAGGCTGCTTTTTTCGTCTCCTTTATGGAGTTTTCTAATATATTTAAATCATCTGCAAATCCAGTACTTGTATATGTTGTTGGGCAATTAATACTCCAATTGTTTACATTTACGTATCCCTTAAAGCTTTTTCCAATGCTGTATATAATAAAGTAGGGAATAGTGAATCTTTTTATTACAAACACTCCTGATACCGTATGTCTGAAACTTATTTGATACTGTATGTCTTCCATGCACATTTTTGACAAGATCACTAAATTTTGTGGGTTCCCGAACTTCTCTATTAAATTATAAAGACTTTGTCATTGTAGGCTATCATAGGTCTTTTAAAAATCAACAGATAGCTACCAGATATTTTGGCGGAATTTAGACTTTTTTCTATTATTTAGTCTATAATAGCAAACTGATCAATCGTTGATCTCCATTTTTATTCCCTTTACAATACAGTCTACTGATAATGATGACTATGATTATAAGACGCAAACAAATCACAAAATATTGCGCATAGAATAAAAGTTATGAAAACATTACTTTTGATAACCCCGATTCTCATTTTATTACACCTAGGTTATTAATTAGTTTATCTTACAACTAACTAAACAGTTTTACATTTATATGAAATAATTAATTCTTACGAATATATCAGTTCTTATGAGAATTTTATTTATAAGACTATACTTTTACTAACTTTTTAATTCAGTCATTAAACTAAATTATATAACAATTCGTGTTTTAGCATTTTTAATGAGGTTAGAGTTATCTTTGAGTGTTTTTAGAGAAAAATTTGAGAAAATTTTATGATTATGCTATTAATAATTCCAAGAACTCTCATAAGATAACACAGAGTATAGTTGCGGTATTCCATCAATTACGTGTTGAAAATGTTTTGGATCCCTTACATTAGTCATGTTAATAACAATAAAGTGTGATTGCATAAATTTTAACTTTTATAATAAAATATACTTACAGTCTTCAACGACACAACTAATTTTGCTGCACCGATAAATATTAATATTAATAAAAATAAATATAAATTCGATTTTATTTTCGATATAAATGAGAACATCATTTTCTGTGAATTAAATTTTAATATAAATGATATTGTAATATGTGTATTTACATCAATAATTTAGAAAATATAAAAAATATTTATTTAACTTTATTTAAAAACAGTGTACAAGTATTTAATTGATAGAATAAAAAATTTAAAATTAAGTTATAAGAAATATCAAGATGTTGTATTGAATTACCTTTTTTATATTGTTGAAGTTACTTGTTCCACGTGAACAAATTATGTTGTCGTTAATTGTAATTGTGATTATTATGTTCAATATTCAAATCGAAGGCCAAATATTATGTCTTTTGTATTTTCTATGGTTAACAACTAATAAAACGTAATACTTTATTTTCATTTTAACCTTAATGGCTTAGGATTTTTCGGTTGTATAAAATTATTATATTGCAATGATTGATAAAAAAATTTAATTTTGAAGTATATCTATAGAACTGTTAGATTGGATTTATAAAGTTTATTTTAAAATGAAATAAAAAATATTTTAATTTTTGTACATAGTAAAATTTTCAAAATTGTTTATATTCGGCTATGAGTACCAGGGTTTGTAAGAAAGATAACAAATGATAGAAAAATAGAGTGATTTTCATTTTACTAATATAAGATATCATGAGACTGATAGTCAATTCTTTAATATCAGTAATGTCACTAGTATTGATGGTTATCAATGATAAGTGGGATTGAGCACCTCGTGTATCTACCCAGAGTAATATGGTGGTAATATATGAACCTCCTATTTAACTACTGAAATAGACACGTATCAATGATATAAATAACTCCGTAGCAACTAACTTTGTACAAACATTATTGATTCATTTAATTTACTTAGTATATTTCTTATTGTTAATCACTTGAATTTTCTTTGTGCCTATTTAATCTTTATACTCATAAAATTTAATTCTAAACCTTATATGTGTTTGGTAAAATTATTCTTTTCCTACCTTAATATTTCCAATAAATACTCAGAAATAGACGTTCTTTTTTGTTATGAAATTATAATATGGACGTCATGGTTTACTTTTTGCGTGTACCTCGATAGAAAAACGAAGTGTAAATTGACTGATCATAATTGAGTGGATTGAGAACCTCTAGGAATAGCTGACCGAATCTGAGCCAGAATGCTCCTTATTTTGGGTTTTTTTAATTAAATTTGATAATGATTTCAAAGGAAAGAAGTAATCAACGACCATTATTCCTTTATTAATAGTAATTAATTATGTTATTTATTACATCAATGATCTTTATTTTATAATGATCTATCACTTCTTATATATATATGGATTATTGTTATATTGGTGTACATGTTATGTGATTTTAACAGTACATTATAACAATAATAATATACTGTGTAATATACTGTGTTTCAAAACATTAAAATTAAAAAGAAGAATACTAACGCTAAAAAAATTCATAGAATAGCATATATTTTAAGTAGCCATAGAAATGCATAATATTAAGAAGCCATACAAATGTATAAATATTAAGATTTCACAGAAATGCATAAATATTAAGAAGCCATAGAAATGCATAAATATTAAGAAGTCACAGAAATGCATAAATATTAAGAAGCCACAGAAATGCATAAATATTAAGAAGCCACAGAAATGCATAAATATTATGAAGCCATAGAAATGCATAATTTTAAGAAGCCATAGAAATGCATAAATATTAAGAAGCCATAGAAATGCATAAATATTAAGAAGCCACAGAAATGCATAAATATTATGAAGCCACAGAAATGCATAAATATTATGAAGCCATAGAAATGCATAATTTTAAGAAGCCACAGAAATGCATAAATATTAAGAAGCCACAGAAATGCATAAAAATTAAGAAGCCACAGAAATGCATAAAAATTAAGAAGCCATAGAAATGCATAATTTTAAGAAGCCATAGAAATGTATAAATTATAAGTAATCAACCATGAGTTTAATATTGTAAAATTATCGACCTTTATATTGTTTTAGATAAACAAAGTTACGTTATTTTTAAATATAAATATTCTGCACATTATATTTTATTGATATTATAATTAAGTATGGTTTTTAGTGTATATAAACTCTATAACACCAATAATCTAATTATGTATAGCATATACATTGTGTAGTAGATAATAAAAAAGTGTAGTATCACATTTTAATACATGTAATAATTAATACATATACTTAATAAAATATATCACCAAATCAGTGTTCCCTGTGGATAAGATGAATAAAAAAATAATACCCTTACACAAGATTTAACCACCCTCTTACGCATTCCATAAAACGCCCACGTAAAAGATTCTATCATATTAACCAATCAAATACAACAAAAAATATTTCAAGAATCTCACCAGAGATCGCTAAACCAATTTTGCAGGCTACAAAAAGGCCATTTCCCCCCAAATTCGGGTGGTTCTGAACATCCCTCTCGCTGACGCTGGGACACTCTGCCTCTGCGTCTCTAAGGCTCTCTGGAACTCTGGAATTCTCAATCAAGATATACAAATCGAATGTGCATGAGTATATGTTTCGCTTTTAGTTAAAATTCTATAAAAAATCTGCACGATTTTTATGCTCCTTTCGTAATCACTGGGATTTACAAGAAATATTATACTTTTATTTTCGGTCGAATACTTTTGGTGATACAAATATTCTAACATATGTAAAATATTGGTATTTATTTATTTTTTATCTAAATATACAGGGTGATTTTTTTATCATAACTCACTCAATTACCAGCAGAATAAATATAATTTAAACATTTTTTTTTTTTTTGGTTTCCTTTAGTTACACATTATTCTTGAATTATTAACTATTTAAAATTTTTTATGTTCATTCCTTATGCCTTGTAAGGGTGTCAACTTTGTTTTTTTAAATGATAACACATATTTTGAATTTAATAAAATATTTAGATTTTTAACTCAATAGTAAAAGGCATTTGAATTTTTAATATAACTTTATTAGTTTATTAGATATAAACATTTAAAATCTCACATTTTTGAGTTAATATACATGTATAATACACAAGGGTTTATAAATACAGGTAGCTAATTGGATTATTATGACATTGCTGTCACAGTCACGGATTGTTTATTATCAATTATAACTATCAATAGATAAACTTTCTGTAATGTCAGTTAGTGTATTTATAAACTCGCAACAATGTGCCTTACTACCATTGATAATAACAATACTGTGTACCTGCTAATATCGATGTCATAAAAAATCAATTAGCTATCTGTATTTGTAATCTCTTGTCTATTATACATATATATAAACTAAAAAATTTGAAACTTTAAATGTTTATATCTAATAAATAAAGTTGTACTAAAAATTCAAATGTCATTTACTATTAAATTAAAAACTCAAACATTTTATTAAATTCAACATATGTGTTCCCATTTAAAAAAGCATAGTTGACACCCTTACAAGGCATAAGAGATGAACATAAAAAGTTTTAAATAGTTAATAATTCAAGAATAATGTGTAACTAAAAAAACAAAAACAAAAAAAAAATGCTTAAATTATTATTACTCTATAAGTAATTGAGTGGATTATGATAAAAAAATTATTCTGTATATATATACATACACACACTAAAAATAATACATAACTAGATTGCATTGTGTTCTATTACTTATTGAAGCGCCACAACCTGGCTGGACAGAGTACTAGCACAATAACATCATAGCTAATATTCCAATTAATTATAAGCGTTCTCAAAAGTGTCTCTCCACTTGTCGACTAGCCAGCCTGATCTCTGCCACAGTGCGGGCCATCGGAGTGTAGGATACATACATAATTTATAACGCATTCTTCTTCTTCTTCTTCTTCCTCGCCTTAATCCCAACTACTTGGGGTCGGCCACCCTTATCCTAAACTTCCACTTGACACAATCTCCCATATCATTTACGCTCACATCAGTTGTCCTCAAATTGAATGCAATAGTTTAAAAATTAGTTTAAAAAAATCATTAAAATTTACAAACAAAAATTTTTAGTTAAATATTAAAAATGATTTTAAAAATTATTATTATCTATATATAATATACAATTTTTAAACTATATCAACCTCTAGTTGATCATTAAATTTTTTTATTAATAATTGTTAGGTATATTTATGTATGTATTTTATGTTATCATATTTAAAAGAATAAGTTGTTATTTTCACATTTGTTTGTTATATCGTAAAATATTAAATTTATACTTAAATTTTATGGGTGTCTCACACAAAATCCGAGGTCAAATACCTTTTTGAAGAACTATACTTTTAATAATTAACGCAAATTATATTTTAACCCGTCATTGCTCGCATGTGAGAATTTCCTTCACATTGTTTTTAAAATGAGAACCACTGGCTTGCTCGTAGTTGTACTTTCCTCAAATTCATAGTACCTTATGAAATAGTAATCAAGAATAGATTTATCGATGAACGACAACTTTATCATCCCGATAAGGAAAAATATTGTCAACTGAAAAAAATGAATTTTTATTTAACATGAGTGAGTTAATTTTGTTTTGGTTAAATGATGATGTAGAGTCGCTAAATGACTCATGTAGTGAAAATGATGAAAGTATTTCATCATCTACAGAACAAAATATTGAGGACGACAACTACGAAAGTGATGAAACAATTGAAAGTGCTGGAGAATCGGAATCGTATGATGATAGTGTCATATGTACCGATAATAATAAATAATAAAAATGTACTAATGTTGACAACCAAGGCGATATTGATGAAGAAAGCGGAGAAAAGCATAAACCCGAAGTTATAACTTTTTATAATCTTACTAAAGGAGGAGTAGACGAGCTAAAAGCTGAATATTCCGTAGCAAGAATAAGTTGTAGATGGCCTTTAACTATTTTTTTTGCACTTATGAATATTGCTGGCATAAACAGCCAAATTATCTATAAAGCTAATACTGATGACATTATTAGTAGACGGCATTTTCTAAAATTTCTTGGACAAGATTTATGTAAACCATTTATGGTACAAAGACTTAATTCTAAAAATTTGCCTTTTGACCTAAGAAAAAATATAAATCGTTTTACTGGTCAAATCTTACAACCAACTAAAGAAGACATAAGACCTACAGAAAGATTGAAATGCGCTCACTGCCCAGCAAGGAAAAATCGGTATACTGTCGTAAGTAAAAACATAACTTACAACAAAATAACTATTATAAAAATGATTCGATATATTATAGGTAAAATGTGCAAAGTGCTT